TGGCCGGAACCATCCCGGGGGGTTGGAGAGATGGTTCAACTGTTGAGAGTGCTTACTGCTCTTGCAAGGTATGATATAAGACCAGTTCTTAGCACCCACTGAGGGAATAGGGCTCATAACCACCCGTGACTCTAACTCTAGGGGATCCATCACCTTCTTCTGGCCTTCACAGGCACTTAAACTCATGGGCATGTACCCACAGAGAAACACAGACACATCATTAGAAATAAAAATAAAAAAGTAAATACACCTTGTATATTTAAATCATTCATATTGACTAAGAAAACTAACTCATAACCTTTGGTTGACAGGGGAATAATACAGATTTTTTTTTTTTTTGGATTTTCGAGACAGGGTTTCTCTGTATTGTTTTGGAGCCTGTCCTGGAACTCACTCAGTAGACCAGGCTTGGTCTCGAACTCACAGAGATCCTCCTGCTTCTGCCTCCTGAGTTCTGGGATTAAAGGTGTGTGCCACCACCGCCCGGCCGATAATACAGATTTTGAAAACTGGCTAGGACAATGGTGATCCAGACTGATGAGAGCATGACAACCTGTTTAAACTGGCGCTCTTCTGGGACTTGGGTATTGACAAATGCCACCTGTTGTCATGAGTCACCTGCAACAAGTTGAACCTAGACAGCAAGAGTATCACTGGTGTGGAGATGGCCACATGAGACTCTTGGGTGGATGGCAAGACCATCATCAAGGCTCAGATTGGAGACACTGTCCCCCAGGAGCACTATCTTGCCCATCACCTTCATATACTACCTTGGGAAGGTAGGTTCACTACTGGTTACGACACAGCCAAGCACATGACACACAAGGTGTGGAGCAGTGGATGAAGGAACAGTGGGACCATGCACACAACAACACTGTCATTATGCTTAAGAGCACCAAGAGTGGTGCGTGCCTTTGCAGAAATGAACAATGTGGCCTTCGCTGATATGTCAGCCTTGGATTCCACCAAGACAGAGGAAGTATTCAAGAACGTCATCACAGAAATCAACCATGCTGTGTCATAGAGGCAAATCACTGACCACATGGTCCAATATGAGTTCCCTGGCAACAATATGAATGAACGTCACCATGCTACCTAACAGGCACTCAGCAACCAGAACCTATGATCGCCATGCACCACTGCCCTGAATGCATGCACATGCTCTACCTTTGGAATTAGCAGCCCCTCACCACTGTCCTCCTGGCCCCTCTATCATCCCTCTAGAATGGTCTGCTCCCATCTTCCCAAGAAATGCTGCCTCCCAGTTAGCTGGCCCAGGAAGAGCAGACGTGGCATCTCTTATGCTGCCTGCTCAATAGAAGCTAGAAGCCCTCTGCTTATGTATTTGTTCTTGAGTCTTATGGACATCTTGTTTGGGTGGTGAGGTTGGCAAGGTGGACAGAAGCAGCCAGAGGAAGGGAAGATGAGCACAAGATGCTCACCTCCCTGGTCTGTTGGCCCAGCTGTCCTGAATCTCTATTCTGAACCCTCTCTGTGCTGATACCCAAAGAGCCAGGCATTAGGGCTGGACTCCGTCTCCCATCACCACGCTAGCATAGGCAGCACCAACCAGCATGGCCCCGGACCTTCCTCGCCTGCCACTCCAAGTCATGCCTGTAGATTTATGCTAGAAGAAGACACCTCCCTGCCTCTCTCCTTCCTCCTCTCACACCTCAGTGCTCTCTCCCTCTGCCCACCCCATCCCTCTTATCTGTCTCACAACTCTGTCTGGTTAGGAACCTGTTTGCAAGTGAAGCAGTATCTCCGTTTTTTGTATATATGCCTGCTCTTGTAGCCTTTGGTTTTTGTTACTGTAGAGCAGTGCTTCTCAATCTTTCTAATGCTTCGACACTTTCATATAGTTCTCCTCTTGCTGTGGTGACCCTCCCCCAACCATAAAATTATTTTCACTGCTCCTTGATAACTGTAATTTATCTACTGTTTTGAATCAAAATTCAACTATCTGTTTCCCAAATGGTCTTAGGCAGTCCCCTGTGAAAGGGCCATTCCAACCCCCAAAGGGGTCATGACCCACAGATTGAGAACCACTGCATTAATCCCACCATTCCTGTATCTTGCCAACTGGTAATGAAGAGATGTTTCTCTTCACATTTTTGCCACCAATAAGTGGGTAAGCAGTGATCGCATTAGAACTCATTTTGTACACCATCAATTATGGTATCTAGGACCAGCATCAGTCACTGCTCATATTACAAAAAGAACCAGACAACACATGCCCCTAAGAGGAGAACACACTGTCACTTGTGGAGCAAGCCTGAAAAAAAAAATAAAATCAAGTAATACTGAAATCTTTTTATACCTCTAAATTGGTGCTACCAAACAGAAATATAATGCAAGCTATATTTTAAAAATATAATAGCCACTTTATAAAGAATTGGGGAAAAAACAAGAAGTTATCTTAACAAATGTGTGTTTTGTTTTGTTTGGTTGGTTTTGGTTTTAAGAGACAGGGTTTCTCTGTATTGTTTTGGAGGCTGTCGGTCCAGCCCGGCCTCGAACTCACAGAGATCCGCCTGCCTCTGCCTTCTGAGTGCTGGGATTAAAGGTGTGTGCCACCACCGCCCGGCAACAAATGTGTGTTTTGGTGGGGTGTGCACATGGAGGCCAGAGGTTGGCATCAGCTGTCTTCCCTAATCTCTTCCCGTCTTATTTTTTGAGACAGGGTCACTGTACCTAGAGCTCATTGATTTTGTTAAACTAGCTGGCCAGCAAGCCCCAGAAATGCTTTTGTTTGTTTCTCTGGTCCTAGGATTACAAGAGTATGCCCTTGCCCTCAGCATTTTACATGTATGCTCATAATCTGAACTCTGACCTTCAATGCTTACATAGAAAACACCTTACAGCCTATTTTAAATAAAATAAATTTAACCAAAGATACCCAAAATACAATTTTAACACAGGAAATAAAAGAACTATTTAGATATTGAATATCCTTTTAATAATATACTTCAAAATTAGTGTGAATTCTATATTCACAGTTCATTTCAGTTGGACTCATTTCAAGCATTTGTGAGCTACATGTAGTGACTGACATTGGACAGCACAGTTCTAGACCCAAGTTCCAACTGATGCACACACAGAAGTATGTCTAATCTTACTAGAAGGACTCAAACAGTAAGACCCAGACTTGAGTAATTCAACTGATGCACACACAGAAGTATGTCTAATCTTACTAGAAGGACTCAAACAGTAAGACCCAGACTTGAGTAATTCAACTGATGCACACACAGAAGTATGTCTAATCTTACTAGAAGGACTCAAACAGTAAGACCCAGACTTGAGTAATTCAACTGGTCAAATCTTGGGTTCTTCAACAAACTAAGGAAGAGGAAAGGAGAAAGAAGAAATTTAAAAGACAGAGGATCAGCAGGATGGCTCAGTGGGTTAAATTACTTTCCTCCCAAGCCTGATGACCTGAGTTCGAACCCTGAAACCCACATAAAGGTGGGTGGAGCACTGACTCCACAAAACTGTCCTCTGACCTCCACACATGAGCCGAGACATGTGTGTGCTCACACATACAGAACATACACACACACACAACAATAAAATTATAAAACTTCAAGATGAAAGAGAAAACCCCAGAGAAATTGTAAATGAAGCAATCAAACATTTACAAAAGCATTAAAACTGTAAGGAAAGCCAAGGTCATTACCACAAGTACTAAGTAAGATTATATTTGAGGAGAAAAAGGAGCAGCACACACAGGCATTGTGGGTGATCTAAATATCTATCACTTTCTTTCCCTGGGTTGTATCTTACATAATTCATGATTTATCTATACATTTGTTTTTAAGAATTTCCCATGGTTGTTACATTTTACAAAGAATAGACAAACTCAGTAAGGAAGTATGTGGGAATACTTGAAATTAACAGGTATTGATCTCTTAAACTTTATAACTCTACCCTATCTCCAAATGTATCACCTCGGTCTCTACCACTTCTAGTCTCTTGGAATTCTGACCAGCTGACCATTGCCCCTCTTTGCCATCTTCAGCCTCCATTCTCCTTCTGTGGCACTACAATATTGTGGGGAATAACTGGGCACACTGTCAGAAACCCAGAGTCCACATCTAGGTTGTGCTATAAAGTCCGCCTGTGACTATCCTCATTAGCTCCTTGACAGCTTCACCATCATCTCCATGCCTGGTGTACAAGCACGTTGTCTTTCCGTGTTTAACAAAACCCTTTCTCAACTGTGTCCCTCAATAGTTATACTCTTTTGTAGCAAGCTTTCTTTTTGGACCACCAACATGGAGACTTATTAGTTATGAGTACTCAGTCTTTCTTAGCTCTTATTTTAATGTTTCTTGGGGTGCTCACTCTCTCTCCTCTCTTCCTCCCTCCCTTTCTGATTCTCTCTCTCCCCCCCCCCCCAGCCCTCTCTCTTCCTTTCTCCCTTCCTCTGGCTCAGGCTCTGTCCCTCTCTTTTCCTGTTCTCTTCTTCAATCTTCTTTTTTGTTGTTGGTTTTTTTTTTTCAAGACAGGGTTTTTCTGTGACTTTGGAGGCTGTCTTGGAACTCACTCTGTAGACCAGGCTGGCCTCAAACTCACAGAGATCTTCCTGCCTCTGCCTCCTGAGTGCTGGGATTAAAGGCCTGGCTTCTTCGATATTCCTTTCTCCACCTCTATTCTCTCTGCCAACCAGCTCCACCTAACCCTCTTCTGCCTACCTATTGGCTGTCCAGCATTTTATTAAGCCAATCAGGTGCCTTAGGCAGGCAAGGGTAAACAAATGCAACACATCTTTACATAATTAAACTAATGCAGCAAAAACAAATGTAACACATCTTTTTATCATTAACAAAGGTGGCATAAACAAATATAACACCTTTACACAGTTAAAGTAATAAACAAAGGCATTAACAAATGTAACACATCTTTGTATAGTTATGATAATATTCCACAACACTTTCTTTTTTCTCAGTATTCAGGATCTCTAAGTTGCCACATACCCTTGTAATAGAGACATATCTTACCTCCTCCACAGAAGCATCCAACAGTGCTGTGTTTGGAACACAGGCTCTCCCACCTTGAGCTCACAATACCTTTGCTGTGGCTCTTTTGATTAGGCATGACCAGGATCAGTCTCAGGCATCATCTGCCCACTGCTTAACCATGGCTCTTCCTCTACTTTCATTCTGCCCTGAAAGTACTGTTTAAGTGATGATTCATACTTGAGGTTTGAACAACCACTTGCAGGCAGCTACCTCCAAAGTCTTCAGCTCTGAACTGTTCAGAGCTTTAGATATTGTATTTATCTAGAAGTCTGCTGGACCTGGATGTCACAATGTCCAGTGTCCAATACTACACCCGCCCAGGTGATGACTCATCTACCTGATGACCCAGGCAGAAACCAGGAGCAACTGCAGCCCGTCAATGCTAACATCTAGTCACTGGCTCCTAGTAATTTTGCTCTTTCTTGGAAACTCGCATTCTTGTCATTTCTACTATACTTTTCTCTATTCGGGATCTGTAGCATCTCTCACCTGGAATAAAAACTGGCATGCGAAGTCTGTCTAAAACTAACACCACATTTCCCTGTTTTGTTCTAAAGCAAACTAGAACTGAGTGTGGTGATCCAAACTTAACATTTGCCTGTTTCTGTGCTTTTGTTTTGTTTTGACACAGGGTCTCATGTAGTTCCAATTAGATTCAGATACACTCTATAGCCAAGAATGGCCCTGAACTCCTGACCTTTTTGCCTCCACCTCCCCAGTTCTGGATTACAAGTGTACACCACCATCACTCCCAGCTTCTGTACTTTTGCTATGCTGTTTGCTCTGCATGGAATGCTCCCTCTCCTCTCCTTTTTCTATACATCTTAACTTTTCAAGATGCTCTCAAGACACCATACCCACCAGGAAGAAATTTTCAAAACTGCCAAGAATGAATTATTTTTCTCTCCTCCAGCAATGTCTCAACTAAGCTTTCATCATTGCATTTAACCAATTTTAAGTTTTCTTACTCTATTCAACAGCTCTTTAACTTTTTTTTAGTTTTAAAACAATCTTTTCTCATTTTATATACCAACCCCAGTTCCCACTCCCTTCCTCCTCCTGTTCCCCCCACCTTCTCCTCACACAACCCCTTATCAACTCCTCAGGAGGGTAAGGCCTATTAAGGGGAGTCAATAAAGTCTGGCACATCACTCTGAGGCAGAACCAAGGCCCTCCACTCTGTATCGAGGCTGAGCAAGGTATCCCTCCAAAGAGAATGGGCTCCAAAAAGCCCATTCAAGCACTAGGGATAAATCCTGGTTCAACAGCTCTTTCTAAGAACAGAGGCTATGACTGGCTTCTTTGTAAATGTAATGCCTAAGCCCACACATGGCCTAGAGCAGGCTTTCTTGCTGAAAGGAAAGGTAAGCTATGTTTCTCTTCATAAATTGGTACTACATTAATGTCTGAGATTATATTTTCATCATAACACAGTACAGTTCCAAAACAGTTAAGAATCACCACAGGATGAAATACAGGCATTTTTAGACTTGCCTTCCGTAAGACCCAAGTTCCCTGAATAGTTTTGTCTCACACTATACTTTCTCATCCTGGACTCTATTCAGTTTTCCAAACTGGCCTCCTGGCCTCTCCCCACTATTCACCACCCCCCTCCCAGAAATTACAATCCCTCACAATGTTGGTCCTTTTTACTAAACTGATCACTATTACTTGATGGTGCGGTATTATTCTAAGAGCACTGTTATTGTGCACACCTGACTGATGTCAACCAAAAGTCTTCAAGTCACCAACAGATGGCTAGTAGGACAAAGACTAAGGCTCTGATCATTTCTTCAGGTCATAAAACATACCAGCAACTGGTGGGAGTGCCGACATGTACAGCCACTTTGGAAATCAGTATGGAGATTCCTCAGGAAAATGGGATTTAGTCTACCACAAGACCCAGCAATTCCACTCTTAGGCATATACCCAAAAGATGCTCATTCATAGAACAATGTGTTCATTTCAGCATTATTTGTAATAGCTAGATCCTGGAAGGAACCTAGATGCCCCACAACTGAAGAGTGGATAGAGAAAATTTGGTACATTTACACAATGGAGTACTACTCAGAGGAAAAAAAAAAACAATGGAATCTTGAAATTTGCTGCAAATGGATGGCACTAGAGGAAACCATCCTGAGTGAGGTAACCCAGACACAAAAAGATAAACATGGTATGTACTCACTCATGTATGGATTTTAGACATGAATCAGGGGAGTGTCAGCCTATAATCCCAGTGCCAGTGAGTCTGGGAAACAGGGAGGGTCCCAAGAGAGATGCATGATACTCCAGAGAAGTGGAATGAGGCAAGATCTCCTGAGCAGATTGGGGACATGGGGGGAGGGGAGAGGGAACCAGAAAAAAAAGAGATGGGGAGAAGAGGAGGGGAGAAGAAGGCATGGGAGGGCAGGAAGGTTGAGTTGAGGTAAGAATAGAGGAGAGCAGGATGAGAGATACCATAATAGATCAAGTCATTATGGGTTTGAGGAGAGAGCTGACACTAGTGAAATGTCTAAAGATCTACAAGAATAACACCAACTGTCAAACTAAGCAATAGCGGAGAGACTACATTAATAGCCCCTCCCTGATGATAAAGTTGATGACTACTTTATATGCCATCCTAGAGCCTTCATCCAGTGACTGATGGAAGCAGAGACTGATACCCACAGCTAAACACTGAACTGAACTTCTGGAACCTAGTGACAGAGATGGAGGAGTAATGAGCAAAGGGGTCAAGACCATGATGGTGAAACCCACAAAGACAGCTGACTGGACACGGGGGAGCTTTTGAACCCCAGAATGACAGCTGAGAGGTCAACAGGGGACTGATCCAGGCTCCATGAACATATAGTGTCAGTGAGGAGGCCTCAGAAATCTCTGGGGCCTATGGCATACGAGTGAATTTTGGAAGCCCATTCCACATGGAGGGATGCTCTCTCAGCCTGGACACATGGGGAAGGGCCTAGGCCCTGCTCTGGATGAAATGACAGACTCTGGAGATCCTCCGAAGGAGGGCCTCACCCTCCCTGGGGAATGATATGGGGATTGGGTGGGAGGCTGGGGGTGGGGGGACTAGTGGAGGGACAAGGGAGGAGGGGTGGGAAAGGGAGCTGGGATTGACATGTGAAACATGCATGTCTCTAATTTAAAAAACACATATATTGAGATAAATAAGTAAATAGAAAGCATGCCAACAACACAAAGAAACCCCTGCTCTTCTGCTTTTTCTCTTGTCCAGGGGTTCTCACCTTCCTAATGCTATGACCCTTTCATACAGTTCCTCATGCTGTGCTGACCAGCAACCATACAGTTATTCCATTGCTATTTCACAATGGTAATTTTGCTACTGCTATGAGTTGCAATTTAAATATCTGTGTTTTCCAATGGTCTTAGGCAACCCTTATGAAGGGGTTGCTTGGCCCCAAAGGGGTCACAACCCAAAGGTTGAGAATCACTGCTCTAGTCCCACCTTCCTTCATCTTGTAGCTCTCTGAGAATGAGGAATGAAGGATTGGCTACTACAGGGTTTCTTTCCTGGAAGTTTTACTGCTTCTGTCAGTCAATTGCCCCATCTGAAAGAGTTTTAGACAGTGATAAAATTCTAATTAGAGCAATATCTTGGGCCAGTGAGATGGTTCAGCAGGTTAAGTGCTTGTCATACAAAGCTGATGACTTGAATTCAATTCCTCAATCCCAGAGTGGAAGGAGAAAACCAACTCCCAGAAGTTACCTTCTGAATTCCCTAAGAGCACCATGGCACATATATATCCCACTCCAATGCATAACAAAAGAGAGACAGAGGGTGGGGAGAGAGGTAGAATCAGGGTATCTTACAATGCTTGATGTGCAGTTTTGGGGTCCTGCCATATTAACACCTCTAAGTGGCCGTACACAGACAAGACATATGCTTTTGGAATAAAAAGCACTGTCAGGAAAATAGTGGGCACAATTTGGCATCAACAGTTGCCATGAGGTCAAAAGCAGGAGGAAGCCTGACTGCATCACTCCCAAGCAGTCTAAAGCTAACCATGCTCCCAAAAAGAGAGAGATGGCTGTGAAAGTCTCACAAGAACATTAGTTCCCTCTGAGTTCTAACATACAATGCACTGAGGTACTGGGAGGAACTTCCAGTCTGAAGCGTAAAGGTAGAAGGGAACAAAAACAGAGTGCTTATAGTCAAACCCCTCCAAACCATTTCAAAAAATAAATGCATTCCAAGTGAGATTTCTATCATGATAATCAACCAAACTACAAATTGCCAAGATCAGTTCTTAAAAAGAACAATGTAACATTAACCAGTGTTTGTTCTGCTTTCTGTTTCACTTAGCAGAGTAGAAGTCACTTAAAGACAGAATATATCATCTTTGCATCCCACCCCACCCCACACCACAGTTAATGAAGTCTACCTAATACAGTACCTGAGATGTAACAAGCACATACACACTTGTAGGGTAAGAGAGAGAATTCAGATTAAAAAAAAAAATCCAAAGGTCACTTCAGTATAGAGATACCATGAAATAGTTAGATCAAGGTTAATCTCTGCCTTTACTATAATTTCCTATGGAAACTAAAACTGGACAAATAAAATTCAACTTTATTTCCAAAGTCCTAAAAGTTTGACTGAGACTCACAAACAATTTTGAGGTCTTCTTAAAATGAACATTCAGATATAAAAACAAATATTTGGAATAATCTATTTGTTTCTGCCCAACATACTTTACACAATAACCAATTAAATTAAAACTACACTTTACAATGGGGAACAAGAAAGCCTTTCAGCTAATAATCCACAGGCATACTTAAAGTCTAAAAGAATACCAAACAAGATTTCAGGGATCTTCTCAGCATAACATGCACTCGCTGTAAAACTACTCGTGTCAGAAAGAAGAGAAGCCTGCACATGCAGCCAGCAGCACTCACAATCATGCTAAAGAAAGACATGTTTTTCTTATCATCTTTATTCAAGTATTTCACAGCAGTTATATTACAACTTACAGTAAATGTTCAAATTCCAGAATTCAAAAATTAAATAATTTACTTCAAACTAATGTATAATGAAGTCAAATGCAAAACATCAATTTAACACAATTCTAAATTAAACTACAAACCCAAAATAGACCGTAGTTGATGAAGTCTACTTAACCTACAAAGTAGACATACATGACCAAAAGCAATTGGACTCCCAAAATCTAAACAACCAAATGTACAAAATATAAAAGATGCAGGTACAAGCCCAAATTCAAGCTTCCAATATGGTTACAAATAATAATTATAACAGCAATGGCATTCAGCTACGGGACCTGACACTGAAGAAACCTACTGATTAGCACCATAGCTGAACCAACTTAATCAAAATAAGGGAAGAAATTACCACCCCACTCCCTAAAAATGAAATCTAGTAAACCTACAAATACATTGGCATATGAGAAAAATCAAGTCATGAAAGGACATTAAAAAATTAATCACAGGTAAAATTCAAGCTCGAAAACACAATTTATTCCACAGCCATCAGTTTCAAACCTAATGCAGTTCCATCATCTTCAAGAAGTTCCCAGGGTCCTCACAGCTGAGCATGAACTTTTGCTTGGCTGGGCTGGGAAACATAATTTTTTATCTGAGAGCAAGATTTTACACAGGAGCTTATCACTTATAATGCTCACATAGGAAGTAAAAACAGAGGTCAATTTGTACATTATTTTTGCCAATGTTACACAGCAAAAATTAAGAACTTTACAGAAAGGTAAACAAAACTAAGTCGACTTGGATAATTTCACAAGCTGCTTTAATCTATAGAACCACCAGATATCTGTAAAACTGGTATAGTATGTTTCTCTTGGGGGGGGGAAGGGGCCTGAAGAGTTGGTGCAATTTCAGCTCTTTTCTCCCCCCTTGGCATGAGACTGGCTTTGTCTTTGAGACCTAAACTGTTCAAAGTGGCAGTTCCTATACTGAGTTTGCCTCTGATTTCTCCACCTACATCAAGGGTAAACACAAACTAAGATGTCATCTTTTGAAAGCATTTTTAATGCTATACATAAATAAATGTCCCTTGTCAAACTCACTGATGGCTAAAATCTGAATTCACGTGCAGGATTCGGGAACCTCCTTAGAACATGTGCGGTTTTCCTCCTTTCACAAGTGCTGCTGTTACTTCAACAGAATGCTTCTGAAGTAGAGAAACTGGAATAAATACTAAAGAAGAAAATAGCGCAGCAAGAACCTGAGACTTGCAAAAACCCTTTTACCAGAAACTCACTACAAAAAATCTGCTACATCTTATTTCATCAAATCTTTAAATTCTGTAACAATTTCCATCAAAATACAAAATGCTAATGTATTAGACAGTAAAATAGTTTGCACTGGTATGATGGTAATAAATACTAAAGAAAGCATGAAAATCCTCCCAATAATCAAATTAGAGGTTTCAAATCACCTCCCCTTTAAAATGGTTCATCGTTAATCACACTTGCCCACCTTAAAAATACAGTGTGTCTACATGGTAGCATCTTGAATTACATGACTAACTAAATATCATGAAAACCTCAGACCAGGTATAAAGAAAACAAGGACCCACATTTAAAAAAAATTAAGCTAGAAGACGGTGACCGTGAAGGTAAATGCAAAGACCGTGAAGGTAAATGCAAAGAAGCACTTGGGATTACTGCAGTAGCTGAGGCCAGCGCGAGCTCTCTGCACACCACAACAGCCAGAAACAAGGAGACAAGTACCTTAGCTTCAGCATGTAAATGGTGGCAAAGTGATTACAGGACCCTGTAAACACTGTTGGTAACTAAAAACAAAAAGCTGAGGTAGCTCAGGATCTCTGCAGTAGTCCTCAACCATGTGCCCTAATCAAAACCCAAATATGTGTTGCATATATATTGGAAAGACACACCTGCAGCTAACGGCTATAATAAAGGAATATAGCAAGCCAATTTGTCTGCAAAATTTTCTGTACTTTGTTTAAAAATTATCTCATAAAAAATGTCACTGTATTCCCTTTGCCTCTTTGCAACTGCCTAAACTGTATTTCCAAATTTTTAGAAAGTTTTGTAAAATTAGTAACCCATAATTATTTTCAGGTAAGTACAACCCACAGAAATCACTCAACAAGATCCAAACTGATTCCAATCAAACTGAAGCATTGTGAAGATGTGAGCATGGGACAGGGTTTAAATGTTAACACTGTTATTCAAGGACATACCAGAGCTCACTTGCAATTATACAGAAAATGAGTTTTACAGAGTTTCTGACAAATTTCTCTTTTCTGTCCATTTGGCAAGTCCTGGCTCTAAAACAAAACAGTAACAACTGACTATACATGAAAACCACTTTTCTCTGGCAACTGAAACATGAATAACTATTAAATTGCATCTGACAGAAGAATGGCCACCAACTATTTATTTTCTGGTCATCATTGTCAGCAATACGGAGAAGTGTGTGGGGTTTTGTGGACTGTGTATCATTTGTTGCTGTTTTATGTGTGTTTCTTAACTAGAAACACACCACAGGAAAGCTTGACAACCTAGCATATCACGTGGCTCACCGAGTATCTTGATTGTTTTGAGAACAAGACAGGCATTAAATACAGAGTACTGTTGTCTCTTAACAACACTGAGTATCAAAACTTATTTTCGAGGTTGTGACCAAAGAAAACATTCTAATTAATTTGCTACAAATGAGCCCGTCCATTAAGCCTCATCTTTTTCAAATGAATAAAAAGGCACATTAAAGGCAGTTCTAAAGAGCCTAATTTCACCCAGTTTCTTCAGTTGTCCACCAGAATACACCATAGCCAATTCTAAAACAGGTCTTAGTCCAATACCTAGGGATGGGGGGTGGGATATGGTCGGAGATAGAAAAGAGGAAAAAAGAAAAAGAAAAAGCAGGTCGCCCACGGTTTCCAACAATTCAGCACAGTTAGAACTGCCCCATCCAGTTCCCTCGGTTTGCTGGTCTGCTCCCTAAGAGACTCTCCAAGAGTGCAGAAGAGAGGGGCAGAGCGAAAGCAGTTTCTGTAGCACCAGAATCTCCAAGCTGTGGGGTTGTATTTTTTATTTGTGGAAAATACAACATGTTTCTGAAGTTTTGTTTGGTTCTTGTAGGCTGGTTGGTTTCAGGTACCTGAGACAATAGCACCAAATTCAACAGAGAAAGAATGAGTGAGCGAGCACTTTACACCAAGGCTCTGCGCATAATTGGTGCAATTTGAAAGTGAATGGCTCAGAAGACTGCTCACCAGGAGCAGATTGGAGAGGATAAACCACTCATCTTGACAAGTTCATAGGAATGTCTCAAACATATGAACTGTTCTTTCCATCTCCTGTAAGAGAAAGAAGTGCACGTTATCCACTATGGAAGACAAAGGAATTCCCCATCATGAAGGAGTCACATTAAATTAAACTTTTAGACAAGGAATTTGAGATACAAGTTCAAATTTGAATATTTTTACAGCACTGCTGTAAAACCATCTGCCCATGACAATTCTAAGTACTTCTTATTTTATTCTTTGGCAATGGCAAAGATAGCATCATTCAATGATAACTTACAATAGCAGATACTGCACTAAGAAATATATTCCAAATATATTAGGTACACAGATATATTTATACCTGTATGAAGTGTACATACATACATACATACATACATACATACATACATACATACATACATAACTTAATTCCTACAATAATGCTGGAGTGTAGAAAGGTATTATTATAAGGTCCACTTTGAAAAACAAGCAAACAAACCTGAGAGAGGCACAGAAAAAAATAAATTATCTGATGGCCACTAAGTGGCAAGATGAGAATTTCATTTTGTTGTTTTGTTTGAGAGAGAGGCTCAGTAGGTGACCTCAGCTGACTAAGAACTATGTAGTCCAAGTGGGTGTCCAATTGTCAATCTTCCAGTCTCAGTCTCTAGAGACCTGTGACTCAGGAGTGCACCACCACATCCAAAGTCAGAAATGAACACTAGCAAAACCATTCACTGTATATTCTACCAATAATCCTCTGGCTCCCTAAAGTAGGCCTCCGGATTATAAAGATTCCAAATCCCATTCATAGGAATACACAATTCATTCAAATTTTTTGGAAAAAATTGTAGAGTTAAAAAAATAATCCAGGTGATGGTGGTGCACTCCTTTAACCCCAGCACTTGGAGGTGGAGGAACTCACTCTGTGAGTTCGAGGCCAGGATGGTCTACTAAGTCAGTTCCAAGACAACCAGGGCCACACAGAGAAATTGTCTGGAATCCTGCCCTCCCCCCAAAAAATTATACACACACACAACTGTAAACTACCTACATTAGGATAGGCAAGCACCAAGTACATCTTTTTTGCCTTTATACAGCTCCAACAAAATCTGATTCTGTATCAATATTAAAGAGATTATTATCTCATTGCTGGGAGGGAAAATCAAACAAACTGGAAGTCAATAAAGACTCCATTTGGCATATTCAGGCATCTTGGGAGATTTTCTCTTCAGGTACCCCTTCTCCACCCAACCTCTGAGCACCCAAGCCGGTCCCCAGTTCTCTAGAACTTGTACACAACCTTGTTTGTTTCCACATATGAAAGAGAACATGTGATACTTGTATCTTTATGTAGTTGGCTCATTTCATTTAGCATGATCCCCTCCAGTGCTATATAGCAAAACTATATTATTCTTTATAGTTGACCAATACTCTGTGTGTGTGTGTGTGTGTGTGTGTGTGTGAGTGTGTGTCATTTTATCCACTCATCTGTGGATAATAACAATTACAAGCGTCTCTTTTCTATATTCTGATTTTACTTATACCCATGACAGAACAATCATATGGCTGTTCCATTTTTTTAGTTTAGTTTTTTTTCCAGAAATATCTGTATTATTTCCAGAGTGCCTATACCAACTTATATTCCTACCAACAGTGTCTAATGGTCCGTTTCTCCACACCATTGCTAGCATTTGTAATTTTTTCTATTTTAAAAATTACTATGCTAACTGAATTGAGATGATAATTTATCTGTTTTAATTTACACTTGTTTGATGACTAATGATACTAAGCATTCTTTTATGTATTTATTGCCATCTATCTTCTTTTTTGGTTAGTGTCTATTCAGATCATTTTCCTATATTTCAACAGGGTTACTTTTTGATTGATGTTTTTTTCTCTGCCAGGTAGAAGGTTTTTCCATTTGATGTAACCTTAACTGCCAATTTCTGGTTTTGTTTTCTGTGTTTTTAGAGTCCTATCCAAAAACAAAACAAAACATTGCCTGTACCAGTATCTTAATATCCTTCCTCTATACTTCAGCACTCAGAGATTTTACATTATGGTGTATGATTTGAGTTTTTAGGTAGGTTGACTATTAAGGCTTCAGGCTTCACTCAGTTATACTTGGGTATCCAGTTTTCCCTGTACCATTTGTTAGAGAGACTGCCTTTCTCCAAAGGATATTTTTAACACTTCTTTGAAAAAGGCTGTTGATGCATAGATTTACTTCTGAGCTTTCTACTCTGTTCCATTAACCCCCAATGCCTGTTTTTATGCCAATAACATGTAGTTTTGGTCACTAAGACAATGTAGTGTATTTTTAAAACACTACTGAGTTGTCTACAGCTTTATTCTTTTTTGCTCAAGACTGGGTAATCTAAGTGCCTTTGTGCATCTATATGAATTTTATTACTGTTTTTTTCCCTAGTTCTGTGAGTAATGTCACTGGTATTTTGGTAGGGATTTCATTGAATCAGCGTATTATTTTGAGTAGAAACATCTTGATATTAATAATTCAAATCCACGAACATAGAGGGTCTTGCAATATGGTTTATCAGTATTTTGTAATTTTCATGATGGAATTCTTTCACTTCTTTAAGTTTATTCCTAGGATCCCCACCCAACTTGGTTACTCTTCAAAAATTCATTATTGATATATAAAAAACTACTAGTTGGGTTTCTGTATTCTGCTGCTTTACTGAATCATGCATCCAAGGTCTTCTGGTATAGTCTTTAGATCTTTCTACACAGTTCTAGGGGTCTTCTCATGTCCTTGTTAGGTTTTTCTATGTAAGAATCTGGGTGCTTTGAGTAAAAATGGCCCCCATTGTCTTAGTCACCAGATTGTGGAATTCTTTGAAAGGATTAGAAGAATTAGGAAGAATTGTTGAAGAAAGCGTGTCACCGGGAGTGGGCTTTGACAGTTCAAAAGTCCATGTCAGGTCCAAGCACTTGCTCTTGTACTCTTGCACCCCACCCCACAAACCTACAGATCAAGATTAGGAGGCATGGACTTTTTGGAGTAGGTGTGGTCTTGTGGGAGGAAGAGTGTCACTAGGGGTGGGCTTTACAGTTTCAAAAGTCCATGCGAGGCTCAATTCTCTCTTTCTGCCTGTGGATCAGGATGCAGCTCTCTCAACTACCTCTCCAACACCATGCCTGCAATGTCTGCACCGTGCTTGCTGCCATGAGGATAATGCACCAAGCTTCTGAATTGTAAGCAAGCCCTCAATTCTAAATGCTTTCCTTTATAACAGTTGCTGTGGTCATAATGTCTCTTCACAGCAATAAAATCGTGACTAAGATAGAATCATATCATTAGTATATAGAAATATTTTCACTTTATTTGTCTTTTAGTTCTTCTTGTCTAACTGTACTGGCTAAAATTTCTAGTAATCTTTTGCATAAGTGCAGTAAAACAGACATCCTTGTCTTGTTTCTGATCTTAGAGGAAGTGCTTTCAGTTTTCCCCCATTGTTCTGGCTAGTTTTTGCCAGGTTGACACAAACCTAGGCATGCCTGGGAAGGGGATAACTGAGTTGAGGAATGGCTATCTCAGGCATGTCTGTGGGGCATTTTCTTGACTGACAACTGATGTGGGACCCAGGAGTAGATGCTACCCATAGGCAGATGGTCCTCAGTTGTATAAGAAAACAAGCTGAGGTAATGGAGGGGTGGCTCAGCACTTAAAAGTACTTACTGCTCTTTCAGAGGTCCTGGGTTCTGGACCTCAATGATGGCTCACAATCATCTTTAACTCCAGTTCTAGGGGATTCAGTGTCACCTTGTGTCCTCTGTGGACACTGCATGCACATGATACACTTAACATACTGCAGGGAAAACATCCATACATGTAAAATAAAAATAACCTTTAAAAAAGGTTGAGTAAGCCATTGAAGCAAGCCAGTAAGCAGTGCTCCTCTGTGCTTTCTGCTTCAGTTCCTGTCTTGGATTCCCTCAGTGGTAAACTACAACCTGTAAGCCAAATAAACCCCTTTCTCCTCCAAGTTCTTACCTTGGATTCCCTCAGTGGTAAACTACAACATGTAAGCCAAATAAACCCCTTTCTCTTCCAAGTTGCTTTTGGTAAGTGTTTTATCACAGCAACAGAGAGACAAACTAAAACTGAAGTTGGTTCAGAGTGGGGCATTGCTATAAGAGACCCGACCGTGATTTCAGAAGAATTGTGGTAGAGTTTTGGGCTAGAAAGCCTTTAAGCTCTCAGATCTTAGTAAGCTGTTGAGCTGAAAGCTCAGAAGACAAGAATGCTGAGAGAAGCCGGGCGGTGGTGGCGCATGCCTTTAATCCCAGCACTCAGGAGGCAGAGGCAGGCAGATCTCTGTGAGTTCGAGGCCAGGCTGGACGGACAGCCTCCAAAACAATACAGAGAAACCCTGTCTCGTAAAACCAAAAAAAAAAAAAATATATAGATAGTGAAGGCCTGGCTTATGAAATTTCAGAGGTAAGTTTGAGAGTACCTCAAGGCCATCTTTGTGATATATTTGAATTAAGCATGCGTGGCCTCTGGTCAGCTGGGGCTAAAGAATCAGCTGTGATTAGCAGGAAATCAGAATCACTGAGGTGAATCCTGTACTGGGACAATTGATGGTAGTTAGCTGGGACTGAAGAATCAGCTGTGATTAATAAGAGACCAACATCACTGAGGTAAAATCTTCTGGGAAATTTCTTCAGGGTCATCACACAGAAGCTGTGGTCCAGAGTCCCAAGTAGCACCTCAAACTGGCAGATGAACTTGTTAACATTTATCAGGCTCCCACATGTTCCTGGTTTTTGGTGACATTAGAGTTGTAGAACTGAGGGGGGTCATGAGAAAGTCCAGGAGGGGCCACTGGTGAAGGTGCAGCCTCGGTTGTATGGTGGCCCTAGCATGCGAGATGCAGGACTGTGGGACTATCACCAAGCACAGTACCAAAGCAGTGCACGTTTCAGAAGGCAGAGCTGGAGAGGAAGGATGACCCAAGCCCTTTGGATCCCAGATCATGTGCCTCAGGTGCTGGACACTGAGTTATTTGGTTTTGCTTTGATCTGATTATAACTGCACCCTAGTTCTTCACTTTAGAAATAAAGAATGTAATTTCTTTTGGAATTTACAGAAGCCAACAGCTAAGAGACTGAATTTTTAAAGAGAACTTGGACTTGAAAATTGTTGGAATTTAAGATTTGAGAGATACCATAATAGATTGAGTCGTTATAGGCTTGAGGAGAGAGCTGACACTAGTGAGATCTCCAGAGATCTACAAGGATAACACCAACTGGAAAACTAAGCAATAGTGGAGAGACTGTATTAATAGCCCCTCCTTGATGATAAGGTTGATGATATGGTTTTTCTGTTAAGCTGGAAAGGGTCAATTGTGCTGATTAGTTAGGTTAACTTGGCACAAACTACAGTCACATGGAGAACCTAGAGTGAAGAACTGCCTCCATCAGACTGGCCTGTGACTAGTCTACAGAGCATTTTCTTGATTACTGTTTGATGTTGGCAGGTGGTCATAGGTGTATAAGGGTAAGCTCAACAAGCCATAGATGCAGCAGCAGCCAGTAAGACAGTGCCCTCCTGTAGCCTCTGCTCCAACTTCCCTACATCTGTGAGCCAGATGGTCACCCACCTCAAGTAAGACAGTACCCTCCTGTAGCCTCTGCTCCAACTTCCCTACGTCTGTGAGCCAGATGGTCACCCACCTCAAGTAAGACAGTACCCTCCTGTAGCCTCTGCTCCAACTTCCCTACGTCTGTGAGCCAGATGGTCACCCACCTCAAGTAAGACAGTACCCTCCTGTAGCCTCTGCTCCAACTTCCCTACGTCTGTGAGCCAGATGGTCACCCACCTCAAGTTGCCTTTGGTCAATATTTTATCATAGGAAGAGAAGCGAACTAGGACACCCATTCAGTGTGACATTACCTATAGGTTTGTCATACACAATTGTTAATGAGTATAATGAAGTAATATTGAATTTTATCAAGATTTTCTTACATTTACTGAGAAAATAAGCTTTTTTAGCCTACATTATATTAATAGGGATATATTATACTTATTGAGTTACAATATGTTGAACCATTTTTAACCTCACTAAAATCAAACCAACACGACATGATTTATGATTTATTTGTTTGCTTTGTTTTCTGAAACAATGTTTCTCTGTGTGACAGTCCTGGCTGTCCTGGAACTCACTTTGTAAATCAGGTTGGTCTCAAACTCATCAGGCCTGCCACTGTCCACCCAGCATTAAAGGTGTGCACCACCGTCTACCTGGCTTGGTTTATGATCTTTTTGATGGGCTGTCAAATTTGGCTTATTAGTATTCTATTGAGGATCTTTGCACTGATGATCATTATAATATTAGTCTAACATTACAATATTAGTCTAATTGTTTACTGTCATTGTCGGGTTTTAATACTAAGAAATGTTAGTCTTAGAGAATAAATTTGGAAATTTTCCCTTTCAGGTCTATGAAAAGTTTTAAGAATGCTGATGGTAGTTAATTCCAGTAGTGAAACCATCTAGTTCATGGAGATATTTACTACTGACACAATCTCAAAAAAAAAAAAAAATCCTTGGACTGACAAGATGGCTCAGCAGGTAAAGGCATCTCCAAGCATAGGACTGAGATCAATCCCTGAGACCCACATAGTAGAAGAAGAGAATCTACTCCACAGGTTGTCCTTTGAACTCTACATGTGAACTGTTTCCTCGGTGTTTGGATCCTGTCACTTGCATGCTGGCTGCTGTGGTACTAAGAGAAATTTGAAACATCTGTCTTCCAGTTACAAGTGTAGATTCAAAGGCTTCATGGAGAAACCATAGCACCTGCGACACTTTGTGACACTCGTATCTAGTCTTGTCAGCAATGCACAATAAGACAAAGTACAGGGACAACTATTTATATAGGGTAGTGAAAGATTTGTGTATGTGGTTTTTTTTAATGTTGCTATTGCAGGTGTGCCCAAGAGTAGAATCTCAGACCCATACCAACATCCCAAGCTGTGTGGGTAGTGGTAGAGGCAGTTACTTGTATTGCACACCAGGGAACAAGATGAGTTGTGGGGGGTAAGGACACAGCTCAGTCTAGGAAAATTAATTTCAACGGGAATTAAAGGCATGAGTGCTGGGAATAAAGGCATGTACTACCACACCCTGCTAAAGCTTCTGACTTTTTGCTACTAAATCCCAGCAGTCTTCCACGGTCACTCACCTCAATATGCAGCTATATACCTGTTGCTCTGGTTCCTTGGTGTGGGGAGCAAGTGAGTGCCCTAATCAGTCATCTTGCCCTCCAAAATAATTTTAAATGCCACCTCACTTTGACTTGAATCTAATGTCCTAAGGCTGGTAGGTGGTAGAATACCTGCCTAGTTTATGCAAGGCCTAACTGATGTTCAGCACCCAGTACGGCAATACAACAAATCTAATGTCCTTATTACACATGAAAAATAACCATATCCTCTCCACATAAATCTTTAATATCCTTAACATTGGAAATGTTCCTTTAGAACAGGAATTTCTCATGCTTTGCCTCCCAAACACCTAGCACAGTATCTGGTACAGGAGATTCTTGATAAATATTTCAAGCTAGACCATCCTAACAAAGAAAACCTAAATTGTTCAGCCCACTCAGTGGATAGGTGTGAGCAATTCAGTGAGTAGATGCCGATCACATTTGCTAAGGCGACATTAAAAAGCAGGAACACAGATTAGATATGTCAAATATAAGAAAAGAGACAGACACTCTTTGGAAGAAGAAATATACAGGAAAGGATAGGTCAATGTTTCAAGCATGTAAGTTGAAGGACAAGTGCTGTCCCTCTGGCTATTTACAGGACAACGTCTGATCAAACCAAATGTTTTAAAGTTCTTTTCCAACTACTACTGTAGCAGTGGGTAACAAACAGGCCTCATTGTCTTTCCTACCTTCATTCACACACATACATACACACACACAACACTTCCCAGACTAGCCTCAAACTTGCTATGTAGCTAAGGATGACCTTTCTGTCTCCACCTTTTGAACCCTCCTCCCTCTCCAATGATATGGATTGTACTGCTAGGCCACACCAACAGGCCCATGCAATATGAGCCAGTAACAAACTAGAGAAGAGAATGAAGATAGTCATTCTGCGTCCTCACCTAACCAAAATCTTTTGACAAACAAGGAACTTGCTATCTTATTTACTGAGACAAAGTGGTAAGAAAAGGTTTTATTCTTCAGACTGTATCATAATAATTTTTTGCCTTTTTCTTTTCTTTAAGTGTAAGAGAACAAATCCAGGGTCTGACACATGCTAGGTAACTGATGTACTACACTCAACTACAGACTCAGTACCCAGTTTTCCTAACCATAAATCTTTACAGCACTGTTCGGTTATTTAGTAAAAACGAATGGACTTGGCACACATGTGGTACACATACATACATGCAGGCAAAACATTCACACACATTAAAATAAATCTTTTTAAAATGGACTTAGATAACTTCTCCTTTAAGATAAGCAGAAGCACATACCCTAGGGATGAACTAAAACACACTTACCTCCACAAGCTGTGACTTGTCGTAGTCTTTACGGTGGCGGTAGATGCACTGACTAAGAAGGGAATACAGCCTCTCAAGCTGGTCAACTGTCAAGTTGTTGCTTTTATCTACCAACAAATCAAGCAATTTCTGAAGGGGGACACAGAGAAATCCAAAGGAAGAAGATAAGCTGTAGTTGATATCATTGATCAAACCATTATAGTCAAATGTCTAGATAAAATGATACCTATGGTTAGAAAATTCTAGACTTTGGCTTACTAAATAATTTCAAACCCTCAAATTATACTTACTCCCAACTCCCAGTTAGGAGAAGTCCTGGGACACTAATCCCTAGCTTAAGGTAACAATTACCAAAAATAGTTTTATTAGACTGACTTACAAATATCCAAATATTATTCCAGTCATTGAAAATGGACTGTGAAAAGCTGAGCATACCTTCAGTCTCTCATGATCAACTACCAGAGGTGGCACAGGTTCGGATGGCTCTTCTGGAACCAGTTCCAGGTTTGTTGTTTTTGCCTGCTCTAAAATTAATTTACGATGTTTCTTTATTTTAGAAGCACCTACAATTGAAAATGAAAAAAATGTACTATAGTCAATAAAAGTAAAAGAAAATCATTATGACAACTTTGAAGTACAAAACAATATTTTTTAAAAAGTGATAATGTTTATTTTGGGATGCTTTCCTTTTTTAGTAAGAGTAAATAATTCAAATTAAAAAGAACTAAACATTAACTATGAAAGCAAAGTAATAACAGAATATCATTTGATACACATATCCAGGAAAAAGAAATAGAAAAAGTACCTTGACTCTAAGCACTTGCTTATACAGGGTAAGAGATGGCTCAGTCAGTAAAACATTTGCTTTACAAGTATGAGGACCTGATTTTGGAATCCCAATATTCCAGCTACAAAGAAGGGTTATGGTTACACGTGTTGTACAGCAGTGCTGTGGGAGATGGATTTAGGATCGGCGAGAGACCCTGTCTTTAGGGAATAATGTAGAGAGTGGCAGAGCAGGATGACTAATATCTTCCTCTGGCCTCCCTGCATGAACACACACACACACAGACACAGACACAGACACAGACACACACACACACACACACACACACACACACACACACCCTACAAGGACTTTGAATAATACTTTTCTACTTCTCAATCCTATCACAGAGCTTAGAAATATGGCAGGATGAAAATTTTTCCAACATAGCCTAAATCCCAAACTAAAGCTGTGTATTCCACACAATTTTACAGACCACATCACATTTTCAAGAGAGCCTTGTATAGGTAGACAACTTATTTAGGTAACAGATTTTCAACTCATTCTAGTAAAGAATAATGGTGGGAAAAGATGAACTACATAGCCTTTACTTCCCTTTTCTGCATATAGTCATGAGAAGGCAGGGATTGCAGAATGCTCTGATTTTTCAAGAGTAAGGTAAGACAACAGTAAGTTCTACATCCTTTCTCCATTACCATACAAATCAATTTGACTTAGTCTGCAATGTGTATTAGTAACCAAGAGGCAGCTAGTTAGTTATTGCTACACTAGTTAGTTATTGCTAACCCCAGCAACAATACCATTCTGAAGTTTGATTTACAAAACTAAAAACCAGGCATGGGGAATTAGCTCAAAGTTACATGATTAAATGAGTAAGAATGGCTTATGTAACTTTCAGTTTGTGTAACTTTTTAATCTCCACCTGCCTCACCCATCCTAACAATTCTCCTGTTGGAATTCCGTCTTCTTTGTACCTGTGAACGGACCTGGCTTTCAGTTACAAAGCTTTTAGGATAAAAATGGCAATCAGGCCAGGCAGTGATGGCACACTAATCTCAGCACTTGGGAGGCAGAGGAAGGTGAATCTCTGAATTTGAGGCTAGCCTGGTCTACGGAACAGGTTTCAGGACAGCTGATCAGACAGGAGGAAGAGTAAAAGACCAAGATAGCAGTGCATTCTGGACCATGAAATCTTTCAGCAAAGCTGAGTATGTTCACAGTTATTTATGGAATAGGCTGCAAAATGTTGATGCAGATTCCACTCTGAGAATTGGTTAATCATTTTTTGTTACTAGAAACCAGATAAAATATGCAATGAATTAACTGGCATTTAAACCTTCAGGAAATGTTTTAAAACTTTAGCTTTACCTTCTTTATCCAGTTCTGCATCTTTAACCTCCACATCAGGACCAGGTTCAGTCTTCTCATTGCTGCTACATTCCAGTGCTTCTAGTTTCTCAGGATCATCTCCATGATTTTCATTCACAGTCTCTGGTTTGTCTTTCGGCTGTTCCTCCAGAGGAATCTTATGTTCAGAACTAGGCTTTTCTCCACCGCCACCAGAGAGAGGAACTATTTCAGTTTTGCCATTCTGACACTCCAGAACAGGAATTCCTTCAAAACTGTCAGTGGAGGCATCCCCGTTCAGACAGCTACCTTTAAGGAAGGGCTCTTTTCTAGAAGCCTGCTCAGGATTGAGAGAACTGTTGCTGTGGACAAGTAGAGATTCATTTGAACTTTCCTCTTCAGTTGATGCAAAATTCTCTTTTGTGCCTGTTCCACTGTTTAGCCTCTGACCCTGGTCCATATCCATGATATCACATGAAGATTCATCATTGGTCATAGATAAGTCTCCAGTCTCTTCTCCATTTTCCTCATGGCAGTCAGTGCTTACCTCAAACTCTCCATTCTCCAGCAACTTCCTGTCCTCTGTATGGTCATAGTCTGCAAACTTGGTATCCTCCTCATCTTTCTTCAAATTATTGACTTTCCTTTTCTTAATAATTCCTTTACCCCACTGTGATCGCCGCCTTGATTTTCTCCGAACTCGAACTGTTTGATAAGAAAGACAGGGAAAGAGCATGTAGAACTCAAGAGTTTAATAACTATTCTACATAGTCTTTATAGTAGACCCAAAAGAAAGTTAACCCATACTGGTCGAAATACAAACAAAAACCCTTGGCTCTTGTTATACATGCAGACAAATTCTCACAACCTACAAGTAAATATGAAGTTATAGATGAATTCAGACAAATGCAAACTTTACTTTCGGTATAAGTTTGCTTGGTATTAACCTCTTCTGCTATTACAGATTCTATTTTATAGCCATTTCTAACTTTCAACACTCAGGGCATAGAATACATTTAGGGAATTTTCATATTACCAAGCTGCCCAGAAAGTTAGAGGTCAGAGCCTTGGATTTCTACCAGGAAAGTCGGTGTGTTGCCAGCAAGACCGTGCAAAGATAGCACCTGAGCTATGGAGAAGAAAAGAAACCAGCAATAGGAGACCAGGAAACGAGAGGAGCCTGGGAGTCCAGGGAAGTAGCTGTCCCTCCAGCAGCATCAGGTAAACAGGCCGGCTTCCCGGCCTGTGTTCCAGTGCCTGCAGATCGCCTGGGAGCAGCACAGAGCTCCCAATCCCGGCGGGAGCCAAGCACCCCAGACTCCAGATCTTCTCTCCCACCATCGAGACCAGGAAACGAGAGGAGCCTGGGAGTCCAGGAAAGTAGCTTTCCCTCCGGCAGCATCAGGTAAACAGGCCGGCTTCTCGGCCTGTGTTCCAGTGTCTGCAGATCGCCTGGGAACTGCACAGAGCTCCCAATCCCGGCGGGAGCCAAGCACCCCAGACTCCAGATCTTCTCTCCCACCAACGAGAACAGGAAACCAGAGTAGCCAGGGAGACCAGGGGAGTAGCTGTTCCGGATCAGGTACAACAGGACCCAGCATAGGGTCCAGGGGACCAGGTAGGAGGCTAAGCGCCCCAGATTCCTGTTCTTCTTCTCCACCCACGGGACCAGCATTTGGACAAGGAATAGAAGAACCACCAGTTATTGGACTTGCTAGCACCCACCAAAAGGGAACTCTGATCCCCAGACCAGTAAGGGGCTCTTTCTGCACCCACTAGAAGAAGAGATGGGAAAGAGACAATACAACAACACAGTCAGCAACAGAAAAACAAATATGACACCACCAGATTCTAGAGACTCCACACCAGCAAGACCCCAACATTCCAATGCGAACGAAGCAGAAGAGAACGACCTTAAAAACACTTTCATGAAAATGATAGAGGCCCTAAAAGAGGATATTGGAAAATCCCTCAAAGAAATGGAAGAAAAAACAAACCAAAAAATGCAAGAAATGGAAGAAAAACCAAAAAATGCAAGAATTGGAAGAAAAAACAAACCAAAAAAGGCAGGAAATGGAAGAAGAAATGAAGCAAAAAATGCAAGAAATGGAAGAAAAAACAAAGCAAAAAATGCAAGAATTGGAAGAAGAATCATACCAAAAAAGGCAGGAAATGGAAGAAGAAACAAAGCAAAAAATGCAAGAAATGGTAGAAAAAACAAAGCAAAAAATGAAAAAAATGGAAGAAGAAACAAACCAAAAAAGGCAGGAAATGGAAGAAGAAACAAAGCACAAAATGCGAGAAATGGAACAAAAAGCAAACCAAAAAATGCAAGAAATGGAAGAAAGAACAAACCAAAAAATTCATAAAAGGCAACAAACGGACGAACAGATAAACAGAAAATTGCAAGAAGCAATGCAAACACTGCAAGGGTTGAAAACTGAAATAGAGACATTAAAAAAAACACAATCTGAAGAAAGGCAGAAAATAGAAAAGCTGGACAAACAGTCAGGCACTACTAATACAAGCATTACCAACAGAATAGAAGAGATGGAAGAGAGAATCTCAAGTGTTGAAGATACACTAGGAGAAATGGATTTATCAACCAAAGAAAACCTTAAATCCAACAAATCCTTAACACAAATCATCCAGGAAATATGGGACACCATGAAAAGACCAAACCTAAGAATAATAGGTATAGAAGAAGGAGAAGAAATCCACCTCAAAGGGACAGAAGGCATATTCAACAAAATCATAGAAGAAAACTTTCCCAACCTTAAGAAAGACATGCCAATGAAGGTACAAGAAGCCTACAGAACACCAAATAGAGTGGACCACAAAAAAAATCCCTCGCCACATAATAATCAAGACCCCAAACATACAGAATAAAGAAAGAATATTAAGAGCAGCTAAGGAAAAAGGTCAAGTAACATATAAAGGCAGACCTATCAGAATTACACCTGATTTCTCCATGGAAACTCTGAAAGCCAGAAGGTCCTGGATAGACATTCTATCAGAATTACACCTGATTTCTCCATGGAAACTCTGAAAGCCAGAAGGTCCTGGATAGACATTCTACCTACACTAAGAGACCATGGATGCCAGCCCAGACTACTATACCCGGCAAAGCTCTCAATCACTATAGACGGAGAAAACAAGATATTCCATGACAAAACTAGATTCAAGCAATATGTGTCCACTAACCCAGCCCTACAGAAAATTTTGGAAGGAAAACTACAACCCAAGGAAGCTAACTACAACCAGAAAAACATAAGCATTAGAGAATCCCTCTCTACCAACAGCCAAAAGAACAAAGGGGTGAAATTCCACACATAATTCCACCAACAACAACCATCGCAAATCGAAGAAGGATGAGCAATCAATGGTCATTAATATCCCTCAATGTTAACGGCCTTAACTCACCCATAAAAAGACACATACTAGCAGAATGGATTCGAAGACAGAACCCTTCCTTCTGCTGCATACAAGAAACACACCTCACCCTCAAAGACAGACATTACCTGAGAGTTAAAGGTTGGGAAAAATTTTTCAATCAAATGGACCCAAGAAACAAGCAGGGGCAGCAATCCTAATATCTAACAAACTAGACTTTAAAATAAAATCAATCAAAAGAGATGAAGGAGGTCATTACATACTCATCACAGGTGAAACCCACCAAGATGAAGTGTCTATCCTGAACATCTATGCCCCCAATACAAAGGCATCCACATTCGTTAAAGAAACATTATTAGAACTTAAATCTCATCTAAAGCCCCACACAGTTATAGTGGGAGATTTCAACACACCACTCTCACCACTAGACAGGAATACCAGACAGAAACTCAACAAAGAAGCAAAGGGTCTAATAGAAGTAATGACCCAACTGGGATTAACATATCTATAGAACATTTCATCCACATAAAAAAGAATATACTGGTTCAGCCACTTTGGAAATCAGTATGGAGATTCCTCAGAAAAATGGGAATAAACCTACCACAAGACCCAGCAACTCCACTCTTAGGCATATATCCAAAAGATGCCCATTCATACAGCAAAGATGTCTGTTCCACTATGTTCACAGCAGCTTTATTTGTAATTGCCCGAACTTGGAAGCAACCTAGATGTCCCTCACCTGAAGAGTGGATAGAGAAAATGTGGTACATCTACACAATGGAGTACTATTCAGCAGAAAAAAATAATGGAATCATGAGATTCGCAGGCAAATGGATGACACTAGAAGAAACCATCCTGAGTGAGGTAACCCAGTCACAAAAAGAGAAACATGGCATGTACTCTCTCATATATGGATTTTAGACATAGATCTGGGGAGTGCCAGCCTACAATCCTATGGCCAGAGAGTCTGGGAAACAGAAACTTCATTTAGTGGCTGATCGAAGAAGAGGCAGACTCCCTTGGTTAAGTACTGAGCTGAACTCAAGAAAGCCAGTAACAGAGAGGGAGGACTGGTGATCAAAGAGATTAAGACTGGGCTGGTTTAACCCCCAGAAACAGCTGACCAGACAAAGGTTAACTCTTGAATCCCAGGCATCAGCCTGGGAATCCAGCATGGGACTGATCAATACCCCCTGAATTTGGGTGTCAGTGAGGAGGCCTAGGGAATCTATTGAGCCTTGGGCAGCAGATCAGTACCCATCCCAAGTATACACACGGACTTTGGACTCCCATAGAACAATGTGAGGTGCACTCTCACCCTGAACTCTTGGGGAAGGGTCTAGGCCCTGCCCAATATGAAATGACAGGCTATGGACACCCCCATGGAGGGCCTCACCCTCCCTGGGGGAATGAGGGAATAAGGGGGGGGGTGGTTGGGGGGAGGGCACAGGAAGAGGGGAGGGAATGGGAGAGGGACCTGGAACTGACTTGTGTAGCAACCTCGTTTCTTATCTAAATTTAAACTGGAAAATAAAAATAAAAATAAAAAAAAAAAAGAAACCAGCAATAACAAAACTCTATAAGCCACTGCTACAGGACCCAATAGTTACAGATATCCCCAAACAAACCTGTTGCTTCTCCTTTCAGAAAAAGGCATTAGCTATAGGATAAATGCTCATGAATAGAAGCAGTACAATTGGTTATGTGAACAATTTGGTTAGCAAACTGTTAACCTCCTCTAATACAAGCCTTCTGTTATTAAGGCAACAGCATCAAGAAGATATTGAAGATAACCATTTGGTCAGTAATTTGAAAAAGAGACCTATAAAACCTGTATTTTCTTAGGTGACAGAAACCATGAGCTCTTTGAGTAGATAGTTAGGCTTCCAGGTGGTAAGTCAGAGCCAGAGCCAGAGTTTTTTTGTTTTGTTTTGTTTTTTTAATCTCCTTTATGTGTATTGGATGTAGCTGATAAAGTAGCTTAACTACACTGGAAAATGCAGATCTTTAATATAAGCTGATATTCCATCAACAGTGTATAGTGGGTTCATGAACCACTTTAAGTCTTTAAACCCTTTCCAAGAGTTGGCATGAATAAATTTAGTCATTATTATTCCTTCTTATTAGGTAACTATCATCTCCAAAATTCATTTGACTCAAAGTTTACCTTTTCTTCAAATTTCAATATGGTTTAAAACTCGCTTTTCATGCTTTCTCCTCTATTTCTATCTTATATTTTATACTTATAGGTTAATTAGTATAAAAATTTCTCTATTAGTCTAATATTAAAAGCTGATACAGAAACTCAGGTGACAGGCATCTACAACAATCATTAGCTAAAACTAATATAGTCTACATAGGAATGAAACAAAGATGGCCATCCTGGTAGACAGATGAAAGGCTTTCACTATGTGGCAGCCAACTCTCAACACTAACCACCCTAATTTTGAGCATGAAACCAAAAACTATTAAGAATTCTCAGTCTACTTTTTAAGCCAAGGAACTCCAGAGCAAGAAAAGCCTGAACTCTGTTCAATCTAGAGATAGTTCAACTTTTTATATGTAATACATGACACAAAGGCCAGAAGCTCACTGAAGGAAGTATACTTTTTACTGTTTCACAATGGTTAATAAGAGAGAGTGAGTAAGCACCACTCCAAAAACTAGCTGGGCAACACAAACTACAATTCAAGGTGTTGGGGGTGGGGGGCATGGACTCAAAGTTGGGCAGGAAAGGAGGAAAAGGTGATTACAGGAGAAGTTCAGGGAGAATTAATATTTTCAAAGTTCACTGAATAAAATTCTCAATGAATTAATAAAGGTATCATTAAAAAGACAGGGAAAGGATATGTCCTATTCTTTGGGACCTAGTAGCATTACTTCTAATGGTGGATTTTAGAACCATGAGAGAAACTAAACATATAAGCACCATGAAAGGAGAACTTTTAGTTTGGGTGGATGCATCTTTATAATGTGGACCATGTGGTAGTGAGCTGTACATGTGTATGTGGACAGAATCCTTAACTTACCACATCCTTTATTTATCTAGGGTGCTCTATTGAAACACCACTTTAGGGACACAACATTTAAAGTCAATTTTTATTGTATCACTGAGGCTGTTTCCAAAGCTAAGACCATGGAAAAGCAACTGTCCCTTTGGGACATTTAGAATTAAGATTTGTGTTAACCTAAAACAGACAAATGACGTGTCACGTGTGCCATCTACTGGTAAGAGGAAACAAAACTCTACAGATTTTAAAAGCATTTTTGTTCTCTCCTCCTTTCCTGTGGATTCTGAAAATCAAATTCAGGTATCTTTGCCTGCTGAGCCATCTTGCTTGCACCAGCCTGAAACTTCTTGAAGTGAATGTTCAATATATTGTCATTGGTAGACAATGCAGAGACTATAAAGGATTCAAAGTTTAAATGAGAGTACAATGTTACACAAAGGGGCACAATCTGAGGAATGGGTCAAATAGCCTAGTTATTGGTTTCAGAGCAACTAAATGCATCATTAAATCCTTTTTCAAACTTGCTCCATATGAATGGTACTTATTTAAAGAGGTCAAAGTTTTTTAGATTGTGTATATGCAGTTCTCTGACCTCAGAGAAGAATCTTTATGCAACTGATAGTTAACACAGAAATTTACAGTTGATCAAAGTGCAAAGAATAAGTACCAGTGGTGTACTCAGTCACATTTGTGATATTTGTATCACATTCCCTACTTACCTGCCCCCCTCCACCCCTCAGCTCAGAGACTATTGCAGAAGAGAAGGTGGAAAGCTGTACAAGCAGAGGTCAGGGAAGATCAGAGCAAAACTCTGTCTTCTGGACATACCAGGGCCATCTCACTCATGAACTCACAGATATTGTCTGTACAAGATCAAGTCACATAACACTATAGTACAGAGGCAGGAGGGGCTAAGAGCCCCCATCCCTAATTGAGGAGCTACTAACAGATGATATCCTCTGGAAAAAGAATAGTCAGGGGTTTTTAAGTATGTAGCTCCTGGTAGGTTTCCCCCATGCTCCAGCAGATAGCCCCATACCAGTATAAAAGGACTTTTTGACTAATGTTTTTTAAAAAAGGACATGAAGTTAGAAGTGGTTGGGAATAAGGAATAGATCTAAAAGGAATTAAATAGAGGAATGGATTAAATATAGTCAAGTAATACTTATAAAATTCTCAAAGAATTAATAAAAATATATTGTTTCAAAGATGGGTATGATTCATTCCTTCAAATTCACTATCATTTAGTAAAGAGCATACTATGGCCAGTCTTGTGCACAGAGCAATATTATCATATTTAGACCAGAAGAACAGTATGTATCTCTCAAGATAGGCTATTAATGAAACATGAAGATGACATCAGGAAGATGTCAGGTTTATTAACATTTGTCTTTCAGAAATACAATAGATCAACAAGAGTAAGTTTTTATGAAGATCTAGAAACTAATTTTTCCTTCTAAATATATCAAAGTTAAGACAAATTAGGCTGCTCAAATTTTTCAAGCTCAGCATAAATATTCCTTTAAAGGACAAACTTCCCACTACCAAACCATCCATTTCCATATAATTGTTGCATTTCTAACTACAAAGAAAATATCTTGCATATACCATGCAAGGAGTGGGAAATAAGGACTAGGTGAACAAAACCATCTGTTGCCTCCATCCCTATCCAATGTCTAGTGTTTTTGTTTCAAGTGTTTCAGATATCTGCCCTCCAAAAGTACCAAGCATAGGAAATGGTAAATAATGTTAAAGATGAAATTCTCATTCTGAATCTTACTTTACAAGCGCTTCTCTGGAAAGACAGGGTTAAAGAGCTATGGACAAAAGGCAGCATTGTTTTGTAGGCTGATCCTAGCAAATCTCAGCTATCGCCTCTAATGGCCAACATGCTCACAAATACTCACATGCACACTTATTTGCAGAGTTGTGCCAGGCATCCATTGGGTTTCTTTGTTTGTGCCGAAATGCCTCTTCCACTCTAGTCTCTGTCTTACGGGCACCAGTGCCATGAGGAGTTATTTGTTCTGCTGTTACTGATAAGCCTGCAAGTAGCAGATAAGCAATACCTATTTAAATGTCCCCAGATGCATAAACCAAAAGTTTTCTAAAAATCTGAAATATAAAACTGAGTTTAAAAGTCATTAATTATATGTAGACAGTTTGTAATTCTTCTTAAATTATCTTTTGTTTTAAGATGGGAAAGTAACTCGATATTAAAATCATGAAAATACCTAGCAGGCCATGCTTATCCTAATGCCCAAAGGAGCCCTATTTTCACTCATTTTAGTTCCAAAAGTGATACATTTCACAATATGGCTGTGGGATAATAAGATTATAAATTGTCTAAAAGTCATATATCTACTACCTTAGAATGTACAGTAAGTATACAGGGTCACTAAATTGCATTCCCATGAACAGTTTAAACCTAGCTTTTGCAGCCTGTCACAGTAATGTCCTAAGTTTCACTTCCTGGCACCATCTTCCGAAGGGTAACCATTCCATCTCAATTTTCACTAGAAAATTTTCTTCCATGTAAACTTGAATGCTAGTGCTTCTCACAGCTCTCTCTATAACCTAGCTTCTTATTTTAATCTACATGAAGGATCCTTTATGTGTATGGTTTTTAAATAGTTATATGATAACTATTACATCTCTTTATAAAGCTCTCTGGCGTACTAGCCATATATTTCTATCTGCCTACCTGATATCTCCAACCAGGTATCCTAAAAACAGGTCAAATTAAAGACAAATAGTTAATCTTTACACACATACACACAGAGAGGGGGAGGGAAAGAGAGAGAGGGACGGAGGGAGGGAGGGAAGGAAGAGAGGGAGGGAGGGAGGGAGGGAGGGAGGGAGGGAGGGAGGGAGGGAGGGAGGGAGGGAGGGAGGGAAGACAGGACAGAGAGTTTATCTTATATATTCCCTGTTTTGATTGGCAGAATTGGTATATACTCATTCATTCAACTAGCAATATTCTTTTCCTTCAAAGTTCCCTCTACTAAGCTAGGGATGTAGCTCAGATAGGCAAAGTGTTTGCCTAGTATGTACCATGTCCTGGTTTTGATCTCCAGTACTGTATGAACTGGATATGATAGCACAAGTCTGTAATCCAAGGTTTTAGGAGGTAGAGAAAGAAAGATAAGGTTATCCTTGGGTACATAATGAATTTGAGGGCAGCCTGAGCTATATGAGAACAATACTCAAAAACAAAGAAAGGAGTTCAGTTCAGTGTTTAGCTGTGGGTGTCTGCCGCTGTTTCCATCAGTCCCTGGATAAGGTTCTAGGATGGCATATAGGGTAGTCATCACCCTTATCATCAGGGAGGGGCTATTAATGTAGTCTCTCCACTATTGCTTAGTTTTCCAGTTGGTGTTATCCTTGTAGATCTCTGGAGATCTCACTAGTGTCAGCTCTCTCCTCAAGCCTATAACGACTCGATCTATTATGGTATCTCTCATCCTGTTCTCCTCTATTCTTACCTCAACTCAACCTTCCTGCTCCCCCATGCCTTCTTCTCCCTTCCTCTTATCCCCCTCTCTTTTTCCTGGTTCCCTCTCCCCTCCCCCGATGTTCCCAATCTGCTCAGGAGATCTTGCCTCATTCCACTTCTCTGGGATATAATGCATCTCTCTTGGGACCCTCCCTGTTTCCCAGACTCACTGGCACTGGGATTGTAGGCTGGCAATCCCATGATCCATATCTAAAATCCATACATGAGTGAATACATACCATATTTGTCTTTTTGTGTCTGGGTTACCTCACTCAGGATGGTTTCCTCTAGTGCCATCCATTTGCCTGCAAATTTCAAGATTCCACTGGTTTTTTTTCCCACTGAGTAGTACTCCATTGTGTAAATGTACCACATTTTCTCTATCCACTTCCAAGTTCTAGCTATTACATATAATGCTGCTATGAACATAGTGGAACAGACATCCTTGTTGTGTGAATGGGCATCTTTTGGGTATATGCTTAAGAGTGGAATTGCTAGGTCTTGTGGTAGACTGAGTCCCATTTTCCTGAGGAATCTCCATACTGATTTCCATGGTGGCTATATGTGTTGGCACTCTATCTTATATGCCATCCTAGAACTTTCATCCAGGGACTGATGGAAGTAGAGACAGATACCCACAGCTAAACACTGAACTGAACTCCTGGAACCTAGTGAGAGAGATGGAGGAGTGATGAGCAAAGGGGTCAAGACCATGATGGTGAAACCCACAAAGACAGCTGAATGGATAAGGGGGAGCTCTTGAATCCCAGACTGATGCCTGAGAGGCTAACAGGGGACTGATCCAGATTCCTTGAATATAGTGTCAGTGAGGAGGCCTCAGAAATCTCTGGGGCCTTGGGTAGTAGATCAGTGTTTACCATGGTGTGTGAATGATCTTTGGGAGCCCATTCCAAATAGAGGGATGCTCTCTCAGCCTGGACACATGGGGAAAGACCTAGGTCCTGCCCTGGATGAAATGACAGACTTTGGAGATCCTCCCAAGGAGGGCCTCACCCTCCCTGGGGAATGATGTGGGGATTGGGTGGGGGCTAGCGGGGGGCCTTGTGGAGGGACAAGGGAGGAGGGTGGGAGAGGGAGCTGGGATTGACATGTGAAACATGTTTCTAATTTAAATAAAAGCATATATTGAGGAAAAAAAAACAAAGGAAGAAAGAAAAAAAGAAAGGAAAGCCAATCCCACAAAGTGTTCTCTATACATACATGCATCACTCATACGCTAATCTTGTTTAGCTCCATTCTTTATAGTTAAAATGCATATTTGTTTTACCACCTTTACCCCTATCAATCTTACTGAGATAGTTTTTATAACATAAAATTAAATGTTTTTAGTACATGTACGTTTTTGTAGTTACCCATAGAAGTCTAATTTGAGATGCCTGTCCTAGGCAGTCACTACTATATGTGTATCTCAACATACTTGCCATTTTACATGAGAGGATCACATTCAGTAGATGCTCTTTCATTGCTGCCTTATTTTATGTAGCACTGTTTCTGAAATCCTGTGTTGTTTTTATATTAGTACTTTGCTGAGTAATATGGCCTATGGATGCACTATGCTTTACTATTCATTAACCAAGTGACAGACATTTGTATTTTCCCAGTGTTTATTATGAATAACACTCCTATGAACATCCATGTACATGTTTCATGCAGACACCTATTCATTTATCTTGGATAGATTCCAAGGAAGAGAACTGCTGCATAATGCAGCAAATCTATGTTTGCTTCTGTGAAAACTGAAACATAGTTTTCCAAACTGGTTCTCACAGACTTTAACCCAATCTTTCATTTTTTTTCTAAAACACTGAGAACATGTTATTTCTTTATGCTAAAGTGATCTAACCAATTCCACTGCTTAAAATCAATGGGCTCTTCTGCCACTGGCCCTTCTCTTCCTCCTACTAAAGCTCCTCAAGGGTACAGCTGTACATGCAATAAACAAACCATATGCTCACATTTTGTGGCTCTAATTAAAAAATTACACATAAATGTTAACATACTGGGGAAATATTAAAAATAGTGATATTAGATGTGACGGTGAAAACTAAAATATCTTCCGTTATAAATGTAAATATAATATGTAAACCATTTAAGAAGAAATTTCTACTAAGAAATACTCTATTTCTCTAACATGTACCATTGCACTCAAACTGTCACAGGTGTAGTTTTAAAATACCCTTGAGAATTTACATGACCCATGTTAGTATCAGAAATTAATGAACACCAAGTTATTATTGGAGATAATGAGTACATTCTGATACCTGCGTCACAGGAAAATGAAAAATGAACAGATTGCTTCAGTAGCAAATCTATTTCTCTAACTTACCTCTTTTTATTCGTGCCTCCTTAATTTCTTCACAGAGTTTATTAAATTCTGGGTCCAATTCAGCTGCAATGATGGCATGTGCAGTGTCCTTCAGGGTGCAAGCTCTGTGTCTAATAATTTTGTCTGTTAAAAAAAAAGTTGGCATAAATTTATTTTAGATACAAATGAAATAAAATTAATGCAGGATGCTGTAAAATAAAAGTAAAAGATACAGATATTTAAACTATAAGGACATTTTTAGGTAAGAAAAGATTCATTTCAGGTGTGTAAAAATATGAACTATTTTAATAGCTTGGAAAATTGAACTTTTAAGACCTAATAGAATACTAATTCTATTAAGTTATTACCTCAAAATAAGGTTTTCAATTTCTAAAAAAAAAAATCAAATAGGATTTTCAATAAAATTTTAAAAGAATTGGGGATATGCTATATGCCCCAGGGCTGCGCAGATGGTTACCAAGAACTCAAGGGGCTCAGTGAACAACGCATTTACTGTGGGAGCTCGGCAACCTGACTTCTATCCCTGGAACCCATGTAAAGGTAGAAAAGAACTAACTCCAAGTGGGCCTTACCCCCTCACACTCAGCATGGCATGTGTGAGTGCACAGGCACACATGCACACAAATAAAAACTAACAGTAGTTAGTTAAAACCACAGTAGTTAGTCAAAATTGTGCTAAAAATCACAAAATATTCTGAGTAAGCAGGATATCTTTTAAAATGTGACAAAACCAGATAAATACAGAAAAACTACCTAATCTAAAGCATGCAAGATGATGTAAACTGTAGGCAAGGTCAAATGTGACAGTATACACTTAAAACCCCAGCACTTGGATCACCAATTCCATGAAGCCCTACCTACTTCACAGCATGGTCTTGTCTGAAAAATATAGCAACAAACAAAGCCCAAAGCACAACATCAGTGGGCAGAAGCAGGGAGAAGCACCTGGGGTTCTAGGTACTACAGCTAAAGTGATACCGTAGAAAACATGTCTGCCTCATAGGTCATAGCAATGTCAGTGCTATCCCTCTGGAGTTACAGGACTCCAGATTGGAAAAGGCAGATAAATACAAGATAACTTAGAACAGTTTGAGCCTGGCACAGGGGTGCATAGCTCTGAGGGAAAAAAGCAAGAGGATCCATTCAAGGTCATTCTCTGCTATGCAGCAAGCTTCAGCCCAGCCTAGGCAACATGATACCCTATCTCAAAAAATGAAAAATAAAAAATATTCACTTTTCTCTCTGTAATAAAGGCATAAAGTATAAATTATATTTTCTTTATATCATTTGTGATTATAGCTTATTGTGGAAATCTTATAAAAAATAAATGTAGAACATATACAACCACTGGTACGTTCTTTCTGATATATTCTGTAAACATTCAACAAGCACTGCCCACAATACTAGGAAAACTGAACAATTACACAGAAGCACATAAATAAATAAGACAGGTGTGGTTCCAACAAAATTACAATTTTCAGACTACCTAGGAAAGTAGCCTTAGATAATATCTTAGAGAGAGGATGAGTGCTTGCTGCTGCTATTCTAGAAGACCAGCTTTAGTTCCTAGCTCAATTTCAGGTGGCTCACAACCACCTTGTAAGTCTAGCTACAGAGAATCTGATACCGTCTTCTGGCCTCTGGAGGCAGGCAGGCAGGCAGACACACACACACACACACACACACACACACACACACACACACAAAAATTGTTTTAATCTTTAAAATAAACATTTCATACACAAAAAAGCCTTCTCCCTCAAAAGACAAAACAAATGACAACAAAAATACAAAACACCAGTCAGACCCATGGGTATAAAGAAAGTCAGTCAGCGGGGGCTGGCACTGGGGCAAATTTCACCTGAGTTCTGCGAAGTCCCTAAAGGAAGAGGCACTTGAGTTGGCTGGTGAGCAAGTTTTGGAGCTGCAGAATAAGGAGGGGAAACCACTACAGTCAGGTACAGACTGTGTCACATCCAAGAGCTAGGAGAGTTCACGACACTGAAATGACATCTCATGGAGAGAACTCAATAGCCAATATGAAAACAAGTACTAGACCTTTTCCACATCAGTTCAGAATTTATCCTACAAGCAATGAAAGGTCATTAGAGAGCCATGAACAAGAAAGTAACATGACTCACCCTGGCTGTTATCTAGAGACTGGACTGAGAGGGATTAAGACACAATCCAGAAGCATAATCACAAAGCTTTCTTGAAGTGCTAGAGACCATGACTTGATGGGTGGTGGTTGTGATGATGGAAAAAAAAGAGATTACAGATCTGAAATGGGCTCTCAACTATAGGAAAGGGTGAAAAAGTAAATGAGGGGTTTGATAAGAATCAAAGATAATTCTCTAGCTTCTTGCATCCAAAAGGGGTAAGAAGGGGAAGTGCTATTTATAAAGACACACACACACACACACACACACACACACACGCACGCACGCACACACACACACACAAAGGAAGAAAAGAAAAAGAGATTATTTTTAATGGATTTGGCTTGAGATATTTTGGTTTTCAGATGCTTAAAAAATATCCCAATGGAGATATACAAGCACATGAACACTGGCTTAACAATGACAAAAGCCACGGTGATTTTTTTTCAATCTGCAAAAAGATTTATTTACGTATAAATGGACATCTGCATGTGCCATCAGAGGCCCAAAGAGAGCTGGAGTTACACACAGTTATGAGCTACCTAATGTGGGTGCTGAGAACCAAACCAAGATCCTGTACAAGAATAATTCTTCTGCGTCATCCTTGCAAGTGGACCCTTCTCTGTCTTTTTTTGTTTGTTTGGCTGGCTGGCTGGCTGGCTGGCTGGTTTCTCTGTGTAACAGCCCTGACTGTCCTGGACCTTGCTCTGTAGACCAGAATAGCTTTGAACTTAAGAGATCCGACTGCCTCTGCCTCCTGAGTGCTAAAATTAAAGGTGTGTGTCTGGCTCCAGTCTTTTGTTTTTAAATTGTGGTGTTTAGTATCTACTAAATTCTGAGGTGTGTTTTAGTGTCTTGGATTTAGGTTTAAGCTCTTATATTTCAGCATATGATCCACTGAGTCAACTTCTATGTATAGATCAGGGAATTTTAACTGCACACTAATACCTAATTGTTCCAGTACTATTTGTTGAAAAGATATTTATTTGAGCCAAGAATTTTCTCAGCCATTTTTCTGCATATATCATATATCCTTTGTCAGTTTTCCTACTATTACAAGGTTTTTGATGGTATTATAGCTAGTCCTTTTTTTTAGATTTGTTTATTCTATCTGATGTGTATGAGTGTTTTTGTCTGAATGTATGTTTGTGCACAATATTCATGTCATAAGAGGGCATAAGAGAAAGGGTAGATATGATCAATATATATTGTACATATGTCTGAAATTGTCAAAAATAAATATATTCTAAAACTAAATAAATAAAAGTAATAAAGTTCTGGACAGTTAGGGTTGTGTCACATGTAACTGCTACAGGGTGAACTGCACCCCTTAATATGCATATGTCAAAGTCTGAACCCCTAGTACTTCAGAATGACTGTGTGTGGAAGTAAGCCATTGTAAAAAGGTAATTAAGGTTAAAAAGAGGGTGGGCTCAAATCCGCAGTGCCTAATATCCTTTTAAAGGGAAACCTGGACACACTAGGAGTGCACACAGACAGAGAAAAGGCTACAGGGAGAAGGCATGTGGTAAATCATGAAGAGCCATCTTGGGAGAGACCAAACTCATGGACTCATCTTGAAGAAGATGAGAAAAAAACTTTGGTTGCTTAGGCATCCTGGTCTGTCATATTTTGTATGTTGATCCTAGCAGATAACTACATTAACATACAGACAAATATCTGCTACACAGGAGTCACATTACTGATTTATCATAATACTAATACAGGTAACATACCTCTGTTTCAAAGGGTAAGAAGGGTCACAGACATTTTTATATACCAAGTATCCTGCTCAGTAATTAGAGCATGGTAGTCATAAACACTAACAGAAATGTAAGTGAGTCTGGTTAAGTCTGAAATTAATGAGGTAGAACTATGACAAATAAAGTTGGAAATATACTGAGTAGACTACAGAAGGCTCCAAAAAATGAGCGCCTCTGAGAACTCTGATCCCAGACAACTGAAAAATGAGCACCTCTGAGAACTCTGATCCCAGGCAACTGATACAAAATGTTAGGATTCTATGAAGACTATAGGATTAAGGATGAATTTCAGTAAGGTAAGGATGTGTTATAAGACCAATAATCCAGAGTGGTCAAACTTAATTCATGTCCTATCCCTAAGATAACAGTCAAATGTATGACCCAGGTCTCATTTAGAAGCTACACATTAAATTTCTATCCATATCATACCATACTTCCAAAGGCTTTAATCTTCACTGTATAAATAGTTCTCCCATAACCCCAAATGGCCATGTGTTCTGCCAAGCAGAACATTGTAAACATTTAGATACTCATGGGACCTTGTAAAAGTAATACAGCATTCATGCAATTTCCACTTGCTGCAGAACAGACCCTGAGGTTGTTTTACAGGTACATACATAACAAGTGACTCTGCTGCTGCTGCTGCTGAAAAAAGAAGTTCTCTTGTTGATTAAATATATAAGTGGGTGGGGCATGAATGCAAAAGATGTTTCTCAACAATGACACTTATTGTATCTACCTTTAAGGAGCAGAGTAGAAAAGTCACAAGTACATCACATAAGCTCTACCTGTGAAAAAGAGCCATGGCCTCTAGTAAACCATCCCATTCTACAGTAAAAGGTAATATTGCATCAGAAAGTATTGCTCCTTCCTTGAAACTAGTTATTTATATTAACAGGGTTATAATAAATTATCTGGGGGAAAATTGGATTTATTTACTAGACTAGCTTCCTCTAACAAGTATTTAGGGTCATTTTCATAGTCCCTAGATTTGTTTCCAAATAGGTTTAAATTTAAAATGTGATCTAGGAACTGTAATAAACAAAGTGGGGGTCATCCTACAGCATATGTGTATATACATACCTATTATGGAACCCCAAACTTAAACTACAATTTAAATAATGATAACAATATAAGAATAAAAATAGGTGGCACATGCCTTTAATCACAGCACACAAGAGGCAGAGGTAGGCAGATCTCTATAAGTTTAAGGCCAACCTGGTCTACAGAGTGAGTTCCAGGACAGTCTGGGCTATGAAGAGAAACCCTGTCTCAAGAAACCCACCCCCTCAAAAAAGAATATAAATATCAACAGCCAACCTTTAAGTAATACTTTCCAACTCAAGGAATTATGCTAGGGGCTTGACAAATTTAATTTGAACAATAGGAAAATGGCAATACCACAACATTCAACATAATACACTTTTCTTATTTTACAACAACCCCAAATAACAAATTCTATTGTTATCCCTACTATAAAAACAGGAAAACTAAAATTTAGAAGACTTGACTTGGTTACCATCAAAGAACTAGAGAACAGCAGCACAGACAGAAGCATAGGTCTAAATAAAGAGCTCACATTCCCACCACACCAGAAGCTGCGAGCTTAAGGTCAAAACCACAGACAGTCACCCCATCTGATCCCACCTGAGGGACAAAGGAAAGGAGTAAAGTGAGCTTCAAATTCAGCCTCTCACCACCCATCCTGATTTCATGGACATAAAATTTCAGTACTAGTTAACCGTGGCCCTAATAAAATATGAAGATATACATACAACTATATTATAGGTTTTACTTGGGAGGTACTAAGAGATGAAATTTAACGCCTCACACATTTTAGGAAAACTCTCAATCATTGTGCCATATCTCCAGTCCTTTATTTATTTATTTTGTATTTATCTTTAGAGCCTTATTAAGTTGCTGGAATTACAGATCTGTGCAATTTTATGAAAATAATTATTTGTATTTATGATAGAGGAGAAAAGAACTAAAAGACCTACTTTGACCTGGAATAGGCCACTAGCTATATTATATCTACATATAATTTTTAATGTGAAATAAATCTACTCATTAGTAACAGTTTCAAAAATGTTAGAGGAATGAAAAAATACATAATCTTATAGAAAAGGGGTAAACAAAAAATGTTCACAAACTGGCTATAAGGTGGGTAAACCCGTACAACCACTGTGAAATCAATCAATACAATAGTTTCTCAAATAAACTAAAAATAGAACTACCATATGACACAACCATATCCTCTCCTGAGCATATGCCCAAAGGGACCTAGGTCAGAACACCATGAAGCTCTTTTCCGCCCATGCTTACTGCAGCACTATTCATAGTAACCAGAGACTGAAGCCAGCCTAGATATTATCACATGGATGAAAAATGTATAGTATACACACAAAAAATGTATAACACATACACACAAAGAATGAAATCAAGTCATCTGCAGGAAAACAAATGTAATTGGTAACCACATTAAGTGAACATAGTTAATTTAGGCACAATAGTCTATTAAAATATTGAATGAAACCCTATTATGTATACTAACAAAAATTAACAACAACCATAAGTCATCTCTCCAGCCCCAATAATCATACAATTTCAATGAAACTGATGTGCATATATATTCTTCAGTCTTAGACACTCAGTAATGGGATTGCAGATTACTTAACTTTCTCAATTGTCTTATTTTCATAGTTTTTCTAAGACCTGTATAATAAATATTACAAGTGCTGGAGAGATGGCTCCAAGGGTAAAAAGCACTGGCTGCTCTAACAGATGCAGGTTTGGTTCCCAGGACCCACCTGACAGCTCACAACCACCTGTAACCTGAGTTCCAGAGACTCTAACTTCCTCTTCTGGCTTCCACTGGCACCAGGCATGCACATAGTGCATATACATATATTCAGGCCAACATTAATGCTCATTAAATAAACCATTTAAGAAGAGTTTAAAAGTAAAGCAAATAGCAAAAAATATAACAACCAAATATCCTAAATACAAATGTTGAGAACTAGTACCCACCAAGTCCTACTACATAAATATTTTACTCTGTTTCTTAACCTGAAATATGACAGTATCAATTACTACGGTCTAAATTCAGGTGAGAGAAGTAATTTCACATAAGTACTTAATCTAAGTAGCTAATAATATAAAAGAGAAATGCAGGTCATTCTTTTGCATGGCTTAAGTTGAGAACCACGGTTCCCAAATACAGATGTAGTATCTTTAAAGAACAGAAACCTACAAAAATGCCTTAAAAATAATAGTGAAGAAACAAAATCCTCAATAAGTGAGAAAAACAAAAAACACATTCTGATAGTTGAGAGTTAGCTAACATAATCAGCTTAATCCCAGTGTACTCATGTTAAAAACAACACCACACAAAGCCACTGCATGACCATGATAGGCCAAATGAAAATAAGACAACTCTGTAATTATACCTAAGCACAGAACAAAACATGAACACTGTCCTAAGCACAAAAAAGACCACATATAATCCTATTCTCATTAATACCAATGTCCTACTTAAGGGTATTAGCACTGCTTGATCCTTCTGCTATGCAAACACAGACACACACACACACACACACACACACACACACACAAGTTAGGGGATACATGACTGCATACAATTTTCAGGAATTGATGCTCTCCTTCCATCATGTGGGGTCCAGGGATCAAACTCAGGTCAACAGGCTTAATAGAAGACACCTTTACCTGTTGAGCTATCTCAAACAGCTCACTTAGAGGTTCTTAGCATAGTTAACCACAAAATGGTCACCTAGATACCTAGCAACATACAATTCACTTCCTCACACTTCCCTAAGATTATAAAACAATAATACCAAATCCTTTATGATTCCCATGTGCACATTCTTGTTATAAAAATCATCCCTATTTATAATAAATCCATCTTGTTTAACTATATCAGTGATTTTCCCTGGAGGCCAATGACAAGAGTTGGAACTACAGACTAATAGTCATGTTCAACCTGAGGCCCATTGGCTATATGATTCCCAGGATAGCCACAAATCTGACCCTACATACTTGAGGATGGCATCATGTCATAATGTCAAAAGGATGGACACCTCTTGAAAGTGTAGGATGGAAATTAGGAGTAAAATAAAATTATATAAGAATACCTCCAAAATACAGAAGGGATAACATCCTACAGGACAATTATTCTGATACATAAGTCTAGGCATGGTGACACACACTTCTAATCCAAGCACTCAGGAAGCAGAGGCAGGAGGATCTCCATAAGTCTGAGACCAGTCTAGTTTGAGAGAGAGATTTCTCTTATTTGTATTATTAAGTGATGAGGGGGTATTGGGAGACAGAACAGTCTGATCCAATCTGACCTGGCTTCTCATAAATTAAAAATAATGTGTTTAGTGGTACTACTGATGTTGCCTAAACAAATAAATTTTAGGCTAAGTTCATTTGCTAACTATTCCATCAAGCTGAACAAAATTAGAATCCAGTATGAGAATTAAAAGGAAAATGGAAACTACACATAGTGCCTAGAATTATAAAACCTTCCATCTTAGGCAGTGTTTCCAGGCGGTTTACTACATTCTCAGAGTTCCTGAACACATTCATCTATCAATCTAAGACAGGCACCTTGCCCTAAGTGTCCTTACCTCCGGGGTCCTTGTCTGGATTGTATTCTAAAGCATTGCTACAGATGAGGTCAATATCTTGCAGGAAATCTTTAGCTGTTAGATAATTATGTTTATCAATTTTAGTTATTACTGTTGATAAATCCATTGGTTCTTTGATTACTTCAAGATAATCTGAAACCTAAAACAAATAGGACACTTTAGAAAATTACACCTGGTTTTTTATGTGCTTTAGTACATAAAAGCACAAATTAAAAAACAATATTTTAAAACAAATCTAAGTAGTTAATTATATAAAAGAGTAAAATTACAATGCTATTTATGCTATTTATTCTACTAAAGTTACTATCTGACATACTTTCCATGAAAAACTTCATGGTGTTCTTCTTGAAATCTGAAACCAAAGTCAGTTTTTGGGTTTTATATCCTTTGGGTTTATCTGAGAAGAGAATGTGTGGGTAAAGTACCCAATAAGCATCAGTAAGTGTGTTACCTCAAGAAAAAGAAATAAAAAACAAAGGAAAATAAAAACAGATTTTTCATAGTGATAATTTCTGGTACGTGCTTTTAATTTTTTTCAACAAAGCTTTCTTTTTGAACTCTATAAGGCGAATCATTTCATGGAAAGTATTTTCTACTCCTTTGGAGTCATTACACACATTTTATTTCAGTTAATTAAGTATTGTTTTTTCTACTTTATAAAGGATTTGCTGAACTTGTCTCTGCATAGAAATGATTCTATAGCAAGACATTCAGTCAGGATTTATACAGTAAGTTTTATGTTTTAATGTCACATAACCAGTAAGGAAGGATTAGCAACCTATGTCTATTGTTTTCTCAAGTGGAAACCTCAAGTCTGGTAGTGAGCTGTGATCTGAGAGCAATTTGAGCAATATCTAAAACCAGCTCAGGACCAACTTCTGGGCAGTTTCTGTTCTCTTCAAAGTCAGAATTTGTTTTCATATAGTTTCCTATGACGATGATGCCATTATTTAAAGTTTATTCACAAACACATGCATGCCATGCATGCATGTAATTTGCATATATGTTTTTCAAATTTTACAGTCAACTATTAGGTATGACTGTCAATTTTAAGGGGGATGTTATTCAGGCAGGAATGGAACTGTTAGTTGAACTACAAGATCTGGCCCTGGCATAAACAGAAAGTCACTTTTGAGTTTTATACTATTAACAGTATGAAATTTTAGCACATACTTAATCAGTATCTTTTTTAATGTTTTGCTTTCTGCAGATGAGTTTAAATTTGAGATTTTCTAGCTACTTCTAATTCATCATTTGTATTCCTTTATAAGTCTTAAACCACTTAGGTATTTATTATCTTGTTTTCCCTTTCCTATTCTTCCCCTGATACTACTGCTTCAGCTTTGACAGCAAGACCAGAATGAACCCAAGACAAAAACAGGATCATAACATTAGCTAAAATTTTTACCTAAACCTTAACTAGCATTTTTAATCCTTTCTATTTCCTTATCATGATTTATAGAATTTTTATTCTCTTAAAAATGGATGACAACTGAAATCTGCCAAAGTTTTGTGATTAGGAAGAAAATTTTCTTGAGCAAGAAGAAAACTAGTTCGTCTAAGCATGGGAAGCTAGATCTCCTTTTGACAACCTTCAGGCACAGGACATAGTTTGGTGGGTGGAACACTTACCGAGCATGCAAGGCCCTGGGCTTAGTTTTTAGGGCCATAAAAAGAAATATTTAAAATGAGCCTATAGTTTCAGGTGAAAATACTATATGGAAAAACATTATCCACAAATTTGTGGGGTTTATTTTAAGCTAAAAGCATATATTAGGCATATCTTACATGTTCTTTATTCCAGTGAGAAAAGGCAGAAGGTAGCTACTATGGAAAGGATGAAAGACGGGCTTTCAAGCACGTTGGTACATGCCTATAATCCCAAAATTTGGGAGCTGGAAGATTGCAAGTTCAAAGTCATCCAGGTCTACATAATGAGACTCTGTCTCAAATTTAAAAGAAAAAAAATAGGCTTTAAATTTGAAAAAACTTCCCAAACTTGGCTATGTCACTAGCCAACTTCCTCAATTGTAACACTAGAAAAGTAATAAAATGACCTTCCATGTTTTTTTTTAAGTACCAAATGGAAAAACTACACATTGTAGATAAACATTCAAATAAGAATTATGATTGTCCCTTTATTCCAAAAGAAGGGAAAGAGGTATAGCTTCAGACTTGTTGAAGGGAAAAATGTAACACTAACTCATTCTTCCCAGTCACAGATGACGTAATGATTCCAAAGGAATCTGCTCAGGTCCAAAAACACAGATTTCACAATTAGGACACAACATTAAACTTTGAATCATTTGATAATTCAAATATTTTTAATGACAAAAAAAACACCAAAACTGCTCAAACATGGAGTCTGAACTATAAGGAGAAGGCCAGTAAAGATTATATTGTGGTCATCCACACTATATTATCCCAGGATAAAGTTTTGTTTTTAATCGACAGCATTCTAGTTAGTAAATTCCAAATGGAAAATTCCTTTTCTCACCATCACAAACCAAGTTCCCACAATTACACAGAACAATACACATACAAAAGTGAGGAATTTTCCACTGGTAGTAGAGAAAATCATTGGACAGGACAGACTTAAGTGCATGGGATGTGCTTAACTTCCAGCAGCTACTTGGCAAGAGGCCTTTCTAAAGCAGAAAGACTAGATAGGAAGAGACTTTACCACCTCTTCTCACAGTTATGAGCAGCTAAGGAAATGCCAGTACTCACACCAATGCATTGATACCAATGTACTTTTAAAAGTAGGATTTATCCTGGAATAAAAATAGTCTATTATGGACATTTCACAAAAGTAAATTTTAATCCTCCTCTTAAATTGAAGAGTAGGTGATCACAGCGAGCAATAATAATTAAGAGGACATATTCAAATTAGTCACTAATTCCACTCAAAAGTCACCAGGTGATTGCTGGTGACACTGGTAGTTATCACATGGATTAAAATTTTATAGGCTAGGGGTAATATTCATCCATGCCTTTGCTTTTTTTCCTTCCAAAAAAGATGTCAATATTTTTTTTCTTTTAGCCAGTTCAACTTCACTGTTTGCACACTACTGAAACAAGACCTCTTCAATATCCACCGGTTTGCTGAAGATGTTAAAGCGTTTATCTGTGGCCAGCCTCTTGGTAACATCCCTGAGAAACAACCGCAACTCTCTTAATGTATTCTCCTCTTGGTCTTCCATCCGATGTTTTTCTGATTCTGATAACTGACGAGGAGGAGATGGTAGTGCAAGAGGAAGCACTTCCATAGCACACAGAGCTAGAGAGAGGAGAGAGGGAGGGAGAGGGAGGAAGAGAGAGAGGCGGGGGGGGCAGAGAGAGAGAGAGAGAGAGAGAGACAGAGAGAGAGAGAGAGACAGAGAGAGAGAGAGAGACAGAGAGAGAAGAAAAAAGTGTTAAGCATGGTAATCCAGAACTCAAATAGACTTTCTGTAGTATACCAAAACAAAAGGAAATTACAAGTATATGTTAACCATGAAAACCCCAATAAGTAAAATTTCATATGGAAATTAAAAGAAAGGAATAACTTCACCTCACTGGATGACTCACAATAGGTCTCCTAATCCTCTAAGAATCCTACTGCATATTTTGAGCACCACATGTAGGGACACTGAATAACACCTACAAGGCTGGAAGAAAAGTAGAAACTGTGTATGCATGCACATGTGTGCATGTATCTGTATGTTGGGGTGCACACCTGTGCATATGTGTCTAAGCCAGAAAAGGCATCAGTGTACTCCTATCACTCTGTCTTGTTCCTTCATGGCAGGGTTTTTCAGTGAGATTGGTAGCGAGCAAGCCGCAAAGGTCCTTCTGTTTCTGTCCCCTCTACACTGGGGTTATTGGCAGGTTTGAACCATTCCTGACTTGTACATGGCTGCAGGAACTCTTGAATATCCACCTCTGGTTGTGTGTGAGGAAATGGCTAGAGAGGCATAAATGAAGACAGTGGACACTCGGAATGTGGGTAGTACGATGCCATGGGCTGGAGCCACAGGAGAAAGAAACAAACTAAGCACCAGCAATCACCACCGGGCTTCCTGGCTGCAGACATGTGGCCAAGTGTCCTGCTCTCTCACCACTGTGGTGCTTTTCTTATCAGGATCAACAGTATCTACTAAAACTCTGAGCCACAATGAACATGTTCTTCCGTCCTTAAGCTATTTTTGTCATGCATTTTGTAACAAGAAGGGGAAAAGTAGCTAGCACATCACCTAATAAACTATCCAACCTGTCCTGGTCCACAAAGGAATCAATAACTTGTTATTCACAAGCTGCCATTTCAAGTACCGGATACTTCAAATAACTGAAACAGACTAGAACTGATGACTTCTTCCCCTTGGATTTCTGAGCTGTTGAAATAAGAATCTACCAGGAGATTTGAAGTTGTGCTTGATAAAACTTTAACAGGTAAACACAATGGCCATTTTCAACTGTCCCTCTTTGTCAGTGAGATGGCTCAGTGAGTAAAGATGTTTGCCACCAAGACTGATAATCTAAATATTTCTTAATCCCATTCTGTCTTTTTTTCTTATAAAGCTTTGGGGACTTACCAGTATGCTTCCTTCGTGGTGGTGCCATTGATGCCTGATGGAGAATAAGTTCTTGGAAAAATTTTCTTCGATCTTCTTCAATAGGCCTTTGAATATATAATACCTCTTCATACTGTATTCTAAAGATACATTTAACCTATATATACACATATACACAAAGAAAGAATACAAAATTAAAAGCATACATATTAAATCGAATTACAATTCTTTCCATTTCTAGTATCATTCTTATAGCACAGATATTCATTCTGCTGGCAAAAGGTTTGACTACATAAACTAAAACACAATGGAAAAATGTATACTTGTCCAAGTCCTTAAAAAGTAATAGTATACAAGTAAAGATCAACAAATAAAAGCAAATCCAATAGTTGATTATAACAGGTTGTTAGACATAATCTCAAATAATATTACATAGTACCAAAAAATAATTACTTAGAACCAGGAGCTAGAAGCATGTTAACAATAACTTAAAATCTTTGTATTTTTTCCAGCCTACTCTACAGAGTGAGTTCCAGGATAGCCAGGGTTACATAGAGAGACCTTGCCTTGGAAAAACAAAACAAAAACAAAAACAAACCAACAAAACCTTCATATTTCTTTGTCTTTCCCATCCTCTGTCCATTCCCTACCAAATCTACTTCACTGTATCCTCTGGAATCCTGGTTCTGCTATCAATAAGCGAGACTTTTAGATATTTCACAAACTACTCCATCATACCTTAAATGAAAATTCAATGTTAGTCAGTAGTTCTCATCTCAGCATTTACTGTATGCTGATTTTACCTTTCATCTGCTAACCTACTCTATCAAGGCTTTCAATTCACAGCTCCTTTCCAACACACTATTTAAATATTTTTTATACCAGCCACATTTGTCACCATGGCACTTAAAACTGTCTTTGATTTATTTGGTTGGTTGGTTGGTTTGTTGGTTGGTTTCTTTCTTCTAGACTACAAACTCCCTGAGAAAAGCTACTCTTATTGTTTCAAATATTTCTCCCATTTTATGGTTTGCCTTTCATTCCATTAATAATGTCCACTGATATACAATTTTAATTTTGCAAGATTCAACTTATTTATATTTAGTACGTTTTTGTTAGTTTTCACTTTTTTGGTGTCATGTACAAGAGCTCACTGTCAAGCATGGTGTCATGAAGTTTTCCACCTAATACTTAGTCTTAAAAGTTGTAGCTACCTCATGGACCCCAGACTGATGGCTGAGAGGCCAGCATGGGACTGATCCAGACACTCTAAACATGGGTGTCAGTGAGGAGACCTCAGCAATCTATGGGGCCTCGGGTAGTATATCAGTATTTATCCCTGGCATACGAATGGATTTGGGGAGCCCATTCCACATGGAGAGATGCTCTCTCAGTCTGGACACATGGGGGAGGGCCTAGGTCCTGTGCCAGATTGTATGATAGACTTTGGAGATATCTCATGGAGGGCCCCACTGTCTCTGGGGAGTGGAGGGGGATAGGGTGGAGAACTGGGGGGTGGTTGGGGTAGGAAGGAGAGGAGGGAGAGGGAGCTGGGATTGACATGTAAAGTAAGCTTGTTTCTAATTTAAATTTAATTGTTTTTGAAAGTTGTAGCTCCCATCTACAACCCTCCCCATCCACTCCTCCTCCATTTCCATTCAATAAATGAAATAAAAACAGTTAAATAACTGGACCCTGTGGGGGTAAAAATCAACTGAAAATGACCAAATTTTAAGACATGAATCTATAAATTCCTAGACAAAAACAGGGAAAAGCTCCTTGGTTTTGGCCTTGTACCAAAATATCATGTTGTGCACCTTAAATAAAGACAATCAAAATGAACTAGAGTCTAAGAAATGGCTCCGCTTGGTGGTTTAAACAAGAATGGCCTCCAAAGGCCTCCATAGGCTCATATATTTAGTGTTTGGTCCCCAGCTGGTGAAACTGTTGGAAAGGATCAGAAAATATGTCACTGGGTTCGGCTTTAAGGTTTCAAAGCTCTCTGTGCCTTGAGTTTGTGAGTCCAGATGTGAGCCCTCAGCTGCTACTCCAATGCCCTGCATGCCTGCCTTGCCTGCCTGCCTGCCAAAGCTGTAAGCCCTCAATAAACTCTTCTACAAGTTTAAAAAACAAGTTGTAGCTCCTACACACATCTTTGATATATTTTGAGTTGTTTTTGTATTTAATGTTAGATAATCATTCAGCTTCATTTTTTAGCATGTAGAATAAACTTCCTCTGACTTAATAGTCCTAAAACCCTTGTCTAAAATCATTTGGTGGAATTTTATTTTTATTTATGTATATGGGCATGTGGAAATTAGAAAACAATTTCCAAGGGTCAGTTCTCCCCTTCTACCATTTAGAACCCGATCATATGTGTTCAGTCTTGGTGGCAGGTGCCCTTCCTCACTGAGCCAAATTGCCTGCCCTAGATTTCCATATTATTAAGTTATAAGAGTTTTGTCACAAATTTTTAATGTCATTCATCAGATAAATGATCTATGTGAAATCTTTTCAACTAGTTTGTAGCTTGCTTTTTCATTTTTAGTGGAATCTTTTCAGTAGTAAGGTTAATATTTTTTATATTCTATTACTGTAGTTTTCAAAAAGGGTATTATTAATTATGTAAATATATGTGTGAGTGTGGGTTTGTGACAGAAGGTGTTGTAGCCACTGCAGCTGAAGTCCCAGCTGGTTGTGAGTCACCTGATGTGGGTGCTGGGAACTGAACCCAGGTCCTCACCAAGAGCACAGGCATTCGTATCTGAAGAGCTATCTCTTCAGCCCCACACTATAGCATTTGCATAGTGTTATAACTTTTTCAGTGTCTCTCTTCCCTCCAAAATTTAATTCCTATATGGTAGTGATAATCTTTTTTACATATTCTATTCATTCACTAAACTGAGATTTACTGTTCTTAAAATACATGTGTGCACAGATGTCTATACATATTTATAGGTATGTAGCCAGAAACCGTGCTAGGTAGTTGGTTACTCATTGTTAATAGAAAACACCAACCTTCAGGAAATTCACACTTAGACTTAGTAAGATGTCATAGGCACCTTAGTACAGGAAATGAGAGATGGTCTTAACTGATTAAGATGAATTTGGTATCTCCCTGACCACTCAGCAAACCTAAACATCACAATATCAGGAAACTGCATCTATGGCATCTTAAAGAGTTACTATTAGAAGGGCTGGAGAAATGGCTTAATGGTTAAGAGCACTGGTTCTTCTTCCAGGACCCAGGTCAATCCCCAGCACCAACATGGAAGCTCACAATTGTTTTTAACTCCAGTTCCAGAGGATCTGAGGCCCCTTTCTTTTCTCCATAGATAACAAGCACACACAAAGTACACAGATACACATGCAGACAAAACATCCATACACATAAAATAATAGGATTAAAAATTTTAAAATAATTAGTACATGATCTTTTCTGTCATATTAGTGGTCATATTAGTGTCATATTAGTGTTAGTACAGAGTAATGATGTCCAAAATTGAGTAAATATTTCAAAGGAAAGGCACCTCAACATATTTCCTCGAAACTAAACATTCATTTAACACAGTATTCTAGTAATATGTTGTTTCTATTATAAAATATATGCATGCTAAATGTTTAAGAAAATATGAAAACAAACATAAAGAATAGTTCTAATGTTCTGGACTACTGGACTAGAAGATAGAAATGATAGGAGAATATAAAAGGAGTTCTAAAACCTGACTGTTTTGTCCTACTAACAACACACAAGTCCCATGGAAATAATTCTTTGAAAAGCAGAGTAGAATCAGGCATGGTAGCTCACATTTAGGGAGGCTATTTAGGGAACTAAGGCAAGAGTGCTGCCATGAGCTTAAACTAGCCAGAGATGGATGGATGGATGGATGGATGGATGGATGGATGGATGGATGGATGGATGGATGGATGGATGGATGGATGCATGGATGCATGGATGGATGCATGGATGGATGCATGGATGGATGCATGGATGGATGCATGGATGGATGCATGGATGGATGCATGGATGGATGGATGGATGGATGGATGGATGGATGGATGGATGGATACATTCATACATATGATAGATGAAAACCTTTTCTACTTATTACAATAGTACTTATTACATAATATTTTAAATTGTGCAATTATATAATCGGTATACAGAGAATTCACATAACCTTCATCTCAAAATGTTAAGTATTCTTAATAGCTACATGAATCATAAAAGCTAAAAATACAGAACATAATATAAAAGGGAAAGACGCTGAAATTTTTAGTTCAATGCTAACAAACTTCTAATGTTTCAGTTGTTAAATAAATACCTTGTTTTTTCTGAATATCACACACAGCTAAACTATGGCCTCTATGATGGTAAACTAAGAATTATGATATAATAGTTTTCATATACTATCAGATATTAATTAACCAAAAATTATTTGGGACATATGGATGGCTCAGCAGTTAAGAATGGGTGGCTACTCTTACATTTCCCAGAACCCATGTCAGAAAGCTTACAACTAACTAGCTGTCACTGCGTGTAAAGAGATACAATGACCTCTTCTGGCCTCTGTGTGCACTTGCGTGTGCATGCACACATACACAATTAAAAATAAAAAAGGTTTTTAAAAATTAACTATTCTACTCAGGGCAGTAAGGTGTCTTAGCAGGTAAAAATGTTTACCATGCAAGCCTGACAACCTGAGTTTGACGCCCAGAACAAAAATGGAAAGAGGGAGCTGACTCCCAAAAGTTTTCCTCTGACATATACATGACTTGCATATGTACACACAATCATTTATACACACAATAATAATAAATTATATTATAAAATTTATATATTTATTTCCTACAAGAGCGATAAATTATGCATTCATTCTATCAAGACAACTAACAAAAGGTAAAACATGAAAGAACTCAGGAAACAAATGCTTTAATCACAAAATTCTATATAATCAGGTTTCTATTACATAAAGCATGTAAATATTTTAGGTGAACATCATTTCTATTGTATCTCCTAGGAAACTATTTTTCAATAAGTATTTCTAAAAAAATACCATTTGAAGGTCAAATAAGATTGGGATATTAAAACTTTTTAATCAATTTCATTCAATGCCAATTTCTTCCCCTCAATCATGGTTTTAATTTTAATTTGAACTCAAAGTAAATTTCACATATATTTTAAAAAGAAAAATGCACAATAACATTTAATTCAAACAAAATTTAACCCTACTAATGAAAGCTAGAGGTCAAATGCCATCAGCTGACCTCACAAGGAAGAATGAAGAGGATCACTGATGGAAGAGCTGGGCTTTCTTAGGAAGCAGTTACACATGTCAGGGTCTGCTTGAGGCCTGAGCTGTCTCAATCTTCACAATAGTCAGGAAGATTATTTCAAACAAGAATGGTGGCTAATAATAAGCTGCAGACCTTTATAACAACCGTGATTGTATTCTAATAAAAGTTGTTTAACAAGTCAACTATTTCTTAACAATAAAATAAGGCGAAAGAAACATTTAAGCACTTCTTACCTCTTCAGGCAGTTCACTGTACATGGTTTCAGAGGTAGACAATAAAAATATAGGTGAAAAGGACGGTATATCCTGTAGCAGTGTCAGAAAAGTTGCTCTCACAGTCTCGCTGACAGCTTCCCACCAGTCACCAATATGAGGCATATAAACAATACTAGGTACTGTTCTTCGAGCTTCTCGGAATATCTAAGGAAAGAACCAGTGTTTTAAACCTCAAAGTGAGTACTCCAAAGCCTACATAGCAATCCCAGGATATATTAAATATATTCATTATCCCCAAACAATTTCTTCAAGATAGGATGTGCAAGTCTTTATGTGACTACTATGTGCTCTCGCCTCATCACAAAAAAAGGTATTTTGCAATTTAATTGCTCCTATTCAGTACATATTAATAGGGTAAAGGCAGAAAACAGTTAGCCATGCAAAAATAATGAGGCATACCACTATAAAATATGCTACAAATAAAAAATAAGCATCACATGTATATTGCCTAAGAGTTAGTGAACTTCAATGAGGAAGAAATGGACAGCAAAGCTGAAGTACATGGGCACTGTGTCTAAAATCACTCAACACATGAATACACATTTTAACCATGATGCACTACCCTGGAGCTTAAATCCAATGAACTTTCTGCTTACACACATATTCACTTCTTTCTATCATTTTAACTTCAATTCTTCATAGTCACAAAATATCCTTACTCCTCAAAAGAACAATAATAAGTTGGGTATGGTGGCACATGCCTTTAATCCAAGTACTCAGGAGGCAGGTGGATTTCTGTGAGTTTGAGGCCAGCCTGGTCTACAAAGTGAGCTCCAGAACAGCCAAGGCTGTTACACAGAGAAACCCTGTCTTGAAAAACCACACACAAAAAAAATTAGCAAGTAGCTTTGAGACATTTTCATTGTCAGAAAATTCAAATTGGCATTTAGTTGTTAAAACCCATACTTCCCATCACACTCAGAAAACACACAACAGTAAGAATGAGACTGCCAAACCAGAACTACTCTCCTCTATGTTTAACAGCTGTTGAGCCCAACACTGAATTCTTGCAAATGAATACACAATCTTGTCATTGTTTTTGACAAGTTTAGATATAAACATGAACATCTGACAATATTTCTTAGATTTAACTTGAAAGTTCTACTTTCTAGTTAGTTCCCTTATTTTAAACACATTGCAATGAGCTTTAGTAATGCAAAAGATAAATAAGAACCTAACATAAATGATTAGGAGCAGACGTAGTATGCCTATAACACCAACTTTGTAGGTGGCTGAGGAAAAAGGGTTGCAAAGCAGATGGGACTACAAGTTTGAGGCTAGCCTGGGCTATACAGCAAGATCTCTCTCTCTCTCTCTCTCTCTCTCTCTCTCTCTCTCACACACACACACAAATATACAAACAAAAATTATGATAAATACAGAAATTTTATAAAGAATTATTTTTATTTCATGAGCATGCTTACCAATTACATGAATTTATTCCATAATATCTTATATATTAAACCTTTTAATATAAAATATGCTGCAAACTCTGTAAGTAATCAGGTGAAAGAAGTTCAAATACACTCAAATAACATCATGGGTTACAAAAGAAACACTTGCTCCTTCTTTTGCTTAATGTTTGCCTATCCACCAATCCAGAGAACTGTAGAAGATGGTTTGCTTTCAGGACTCAAAATTCTAACTTTTACATAAAGTATTCTTAGTCTACATCATCAAAACCCATGTTTTTTTCCTTCCTCAGAGTTCTTACAGAAATTTCATATAAGATAAACGGCATAAATAATTGGCTAACGGAAGGAACCACACATGAGTGCAAAGGTAACTGAGACATTCATTAAAAAAAAAATTACTGCATGTTGCCAAGATCAGGCATGGTATGATGAAGACAATAACTAATTCTTCCTGCCACTTTCCAATTCCCCTATCTATGCTGGTAAATGTAGGAGGGAGAGAAAGGTGACCAGAGGAAAAAGATTAGCAAACAATAGCTTACTCACAAACTTCATAAATCGACTACTAAATTTAGCCATGCATGTCACCACATGCCCAGTGTATAAAAGAAAACAAAACATGCCTGTACAAAACTAATTTCTGTTTGTCATCCTAGTGTTTCTGTTAGATTGTCTATGTATCCATGTTGGGAATATTCAGCTGTTACCAAGCATCAGAGTGAATGGGCACACAGAAGATTGAGGATAATACCAACTTCATAAAGCCAAAAGTTAAACAATGCAGTTTAACAAGTGCTCTGACTGCCTGGGAACTGTAAACTGCACACAAGTATCACGATTATCAGAGATAAGATTTTGTTTCAATTTCTTTCTTCTTTTTATCAAATCCTCTTAAAAATTTACAATTGGAACATAACATTCTGTTATTTCCAATGCCTTTAGGAAAATACCCACTTCTTTATAGAATTTTTTAAAAATGTTTTACAAAGCCCAAACAGGTAGGTCTAACACAAATATAGAAAAATCCAAAGGCTTCACCTTTTTAATCCATGAGTATAATGATATGACTGTAGAATTTACCTAACCACAGGAAACTACATGAGATAAACAACATCTAGAGATTATTTCCAAGTTTCTTTAAAGCATTTAGTTGGGAACCATGTTTACATTCAGAAAAATGTTTAAAAAAACACTATTAAAGTATTTCCCTTAAATTCCTCAGTTTATATCTCACAATATTACAGTATGCTTTCATGTTTTAAAAAATAAAATGAACTTGTTCTATTTCCCAGTATTTTTTTAAAGATTTGTGAGTGCTCTATTTGCATGTGTGACTTTATGCCAGAAGAGGGCATCAGATCCCACTATAGAAGGTTGTGAGCCACATGTGGTTACTGGGGAGTGAACTCAGGGCCTTTGGAAGAGCAGTCAGTGCTGTTAACCGCTGAGCCATCTCTCCAGCCCAGAATTCCCAGTTTATTTAAACTAAAAAGAGAGCTAGTGAAGTGCTTGTGCAGTGTGTGGAAGAGCTTAAGTTCAATTGGGAGCGCTAAAAATAAATAGTAACAAAAGCCTGAAACTAGCATTTTAAAATTCTTAGAGTATAAACACAAGAGAGAAAAGAAGTGCAATTTTATTGTGAATTGTGGGGTATTGGTTTGTGAGTAATGGAAAAGTAGCCCTTCAATACTTTACCCATGAACATGAGACTGTGTTTGTATTAGGGAAGCAGGGTCCCGGCAATGGAACCCAGGGCTTTTGACACATAGGCAAGTTGTCACTGAGCTACAGCCCCTCATGATAACTTTTAAAGTTGTGGACTAAAATAGTTTTGAGGAATCAAATACCTGTTAATTCAGAGAAGAAAAATAGAGCCTAGTTTTAATGAAATGGCAACTAGCTGGGAACAACTGATGCCATTTGAGAACTAGAAAAATACTCACCTATAAGGTGTCTTGGATTGGATGTGCAAGGTGTAGTAGAAAACAGAAAAACTGTTATAGAGAAAAAAAGACAGTAGGCCAAATTACTGAACCAACCGTTTCAAAATACCTCTGACATGACCAGCACTCTTGCACAAGTAAAATGAACAAACACCAATGTCTGTTCACACTTCATTTCCATTTCCTTTTGGCCTACTCCTTGGCCCAGATATTACAGTCGCTTAATTAGGTTTTCTTTTCCTTAAGTTTTTTCTTTTAATCACAAATTACTTATGCTAAATACCAAAGGCAAAACTTGGGCTACAGGAGCTAGAAGTACCCATCCAAGAGAACACTAATGATATAAACTGTACTTAAATTTATAAGAGTTCTAATTATCTGGAAGCCACCAAATTAAAATGTCTAGGGGCTGGGAGAACTGCTCAGTGGCAGAGAGAGCACTTGCCTCATGTGTGTCAAACCCTTGGCTTGATTCCACAGCACCACATGCACACAAGCTCAATGTGTGAAAGTTTTGCTATTTTCTTTCTTTGTTTTGGCAGCTCTAGGAAATCAGACTCAGAGTCTTACACATGTTGCCCAGTGTTCTACCAATGAGCTATATACCCAGCCCTATGCATTTTTAATTAAAAATTTATAGCCTCATTACAAAATGGTTATTTTGTTTTAAAAATTGAAAGCTAGATGAAAAAAATCAAACACAAATGTCAATAAAACAGAAAGCTCAAAGTTATGCCCTGTCTTGCCTACAAGGTACTATCACAGGAAAGAAGCGAACAGCTTTATATCGCCAAGATACTTTCAGAATTTGTCACAGTTACTTATTTATTACAAATATACTAAACTTATGAAACAGCTAAAAATTTGGGGAACTGAAATTAAATTTTAATGAAATGAATTCCTTGTATCTTGCTATCACAAGATATATTCCTGGTGATTTATTTATTCCATTACTATCATTTTACTACATTTATATTCTATTCACCTAAAATCTACCAAGCATCTTCTGTGAAAACAAGATACTGTCTGACCTCTGAAGATTAAGAACTCAAGAGAAAAAGGTACCAAACTTTTCTACATGAGTACAAAGTCAGCTAGGGATAAAGCACACCTGTAGTGGTTTCTGAACTGTGGCAATACTACAAAACAACCTCTGTAAAAATTAAATTATATGATATTTTCATTCCTTAACATCTTCAAGAATCCAGTAACTGTTACACAGAAAAACCAAGACACCCATGCAAACGAACGCAAAACAACCAAAGTGTGTACTTCAGCAGCACACACATTAAAACTGGAACAATTCAGAAGATTAGCATGGCCCCTGAAAAAAGATGACATGCAAATTTGTGAAATGTTCCATATTTTTTTTGAGATAAAAGACAGGAAGAGAGAGACAGAACATAAAGTTGGGTGGAGGAAAGTAAGGTGGCTCTTGAAAGAGCTGGAGGGGAAAAAATATGAACACTGTATGAAAAATATTTTAAGTAAACTAAAAGGGGACAATGTACTTAGGCAAATATTAATCCTTTAATACTACCAAGTCAAAAGAGGCTTTTCCTGAGAACTTCCAGATACATTTTCTTTCTGAGAACAGATAAATACTAAAACTTACACTTAAACACACACACACACACACACACACACACACACACACACACACACACACACACACACACACACCGGGCGTTGGTGGCACACGCCTTTAATCCCAGCACACTCGGGAGGCAGAGACAGGCAGATCTCTGTGAGTGGGAGGCCAGCCTGGTCTACAAAGAGAGTTCCA